ATAAATAATATAACAATATAACAGATTCAATCTTCCAAATATTAACAATGCAAATAAACAAATTGCTTCTACTCAGTGGGCAGATTTAGGGGGTGTGCAGTCCTTACACTCCCCTTCTGGGAGTGTAAGGGGGTCCCCCAAGTGAAGCTGGGTACCACAGGTAGTAAAAAATTTTGTAAGGCATACTGTTTCCTTTCTGCACCCCTGTAAAGATTTCTGGATCTACTATAGCTTCTACCTATCATATTAAGCTGCATATAAGATAAACACCTTTCTTCGTGTAATGTATTTTAATATAAATGAGTTAATAGAATTAATTCCAAATAATTGAATCGAATCATGTGGAATCATTTTTCAAATATTTATCAACCTGAATTGTATATACAACTTGTGATGATAATTCGAATATTTTTTCGTAAAGTAAAATATGGCTAGATCATTTTTAAATTTGTAACACGTAAAAATAATATCAACATTATGTAAATTTGGAGGCATTTCTTCTCTAAAAGTACGGATAAATTAAGGCAACCAAAAACTTTTTAATAGATGAAAAAAATATTTTAGACTATTTTACAGCCCATCTTCAGCTGGTACATATCTTGAAATCAAATGTCAGAGTCATGTGGCATTCCATAGTATACAACTTTAAGATAAGGTGCCAAATTTGAAAGATTTTCGTGATATGTTGCCTCTCTCATATCATTTTTAAGTAATTTATCTTGTTAGATCTTCCAAGTTTTTTTTATGATATATATGATATTTATTATGTGATAATATCAGCTCATGTATATTTTTAAATAGTTCAATCATAACACTTATAAAATTGGAAAATTTTAAGTTCGTCTAAATTAATGTAACTATAGTTGATGTGCTTCTGAAAAGAGTCTTTCGAAATGCAAATTTAAATAGAGTATTGTCATAACCAATATCATGCTGTTTGAATGGTCGGGTCTGAAACATAAACTGATAATTATTTTATATCTGTCCTTCATCTTCTAGTATCATCTAATTGTCATAAGATTATTTATTCATACTTTCTTCAATCTTGTATGGTGTAACTTTCTGTTATAGGTACAGTACATCCACCAATTCTTCACTTTGTACTGCAGATGTCAATAGCAGACAACAAATAATTTCATGTTACAGTCTCCAACTTCTGTAATTTTCAGACTCATCTATATTACCATATATCAAATCTATAGCTCTGTTTTCTTATGTATTAAAATCAGTTGTAATTTAAAGTATACATTTGCCAATGCATAATTGTTTACTTCTCTTGTTCCACCATTCTTGGTCCATTTCTAAATGAGAGTCTCTCTCAATGATTTCCATTCTTTTCATTTACAGACATTTATCTTTGAAAATTAATAAGAATATCTATTAACTCAATCAGTTATATTCATCTATACAAAATATTTTGAATTATCTGGACACAGAATTATATGAAATTCAATATGAGAGTAAATATTAGAAAACTTGTCTACTCTAAGATATACTTGATTAGAAAATTAGACTTCATAAAATTTTTTTCTTTTTTTTTTTTCAATACAATTCCATTACTTTTGCATATTATTTTAGGAATAATTTGTAGCAAAAATTTCTCACTAAAATTCATAAATTAAATTTTAATTTTAAATTCAATAAATCTTATTTTCTAATCTGCTTTAACTATTCAGTAAAAGTTAAAATGATAAGAGAATGGTAATGTCTCTCTCTAAATTTTCTATAGTAGAATAATTATAAATATATTTCTATAGTATAGTAGTCTTTCAAATATAGAGATTCTTCCCTTAATATATGATAACTATTTAATTCTTTATCTTCTTCTAGAGCTTTCAATGAGAAGACGGGCAAGTACTTTAAGGAGGAGGACAATATTCAAGTTTAAGGTAGAGTCTGTCTTGAATATTCTTGAAACATTTTGGATATTTCTTCATTAAGTCCTGCAAATCTTTCCTTTTCATTCATGGTCTTCAAGTTCTTCACTTCATTCAATAAGATATTGATTTTGTGTTTTCAAAGTAAGCAGTATTTTGAGAAAATGATTCATACTGATCACCAATTTATTCAATATAAATGACTTTTATGTCTTTTTTTTTAATTGTTGAACTTCACCAGAATGATTATTTTAATTCAAATACCAAATATTTTATATTTTGTTTTTTATATGAAAATTAACACACTATTCTATCACTAAAAAAAGTGAAGGAATAATTTAAATAAACTGTATAAATTAATAAACAGAACATTATCAAACTGAAATTGTTTATTTTAATAAACGATAAATTAAATTTTAATAAATATTGTCCCAAAATAATACAGAATCTAAAAATTTCTAGTTGTTGAACCAATTGATGAAGGAGTCTACCAGTGGCTGAGTGGATGAAACCACTAAACACTGGCACGGGGTTTGTGCCTCACCAACAGACTGGTCATTTAGCATTTTCCAGGCTTTCTTCATATGCATAACACCTAAATAGGGGCCAATCTCCCATAGAAAGTCATCCTGGAAAGCAACCATTTGGCATATTGCCTTATACCATCAATCTAATTCAAACGATGATGTGGTAACTTTAACTTTTTATCAAAATTTTGCATCTTGTTTTTTATTATTATTATTATTATTATTAATTTATATATTTCTTTTTTCTTCCCTATTTCTGGCAAAACTGTGATAACTCAGCCATACAACAGTGTTGAACAGACATTCATGCCTACTAAAACAAGTGTCCAGATTATAAACTATGATGTCTGCTTAGGTTCAAAGTCAGAGCATCAATCTACTAATGTTCCCCCATCAATGCTATTGTGAATCAGACCATATGTGATGAGCATCATTGCGGTCAGCCAGATAGTTATGCCTTAAAGCCTACTGCTGTAGAAATATAATAAAACTGATCCAGATTGTATAATATAAATTAGGATATTGTTCTCCCATCCCTTACATATAGTAGATCCAATGTATGTCAGGTTACCTATGAATGCTGATACCTTACACTCATAGTTAACCAAATCTTTCTTTTCTGGTAACTGTTTTAAATTTATTAAATAAAAATTGCAAATCATTTATTTCATAAATTCCTTAGTTTTTAAAACTTTAACCACCATTTTATATTCGTTGATTGATGATGATTAATTTTTACGACACTTTTTTAAATAAAAAAAAAAGCACTAAGCAAAAAGTATAAAATAGATTAATAGAATATGTTTATTCCCACACTAAAATCATTATAAATAGATTTCAGTTTGATAATGCTATTTATCATTTATAAAATAGTCAATTTATCATTTTGATGAAGTACGATATATCTGAACATAGATATATATTTCAAAATGATTTACTTACTTGAAGAAATAGAATGTCGTAGGAAATTTTCATAATAAATATAAAAACAATAAATCTTATAATCATATACCGAAAATTCAAACAAAACACATATTTATATATATATATATAATGATATGATGAAAAGTGATGAAAACAACACACGGGTAACACCAATATATGCTACACTGTTGGTCATTTTATTGTGCTACTACAATTTTTACATTTCATGCCAAATAGGAAAACAAAACTGCCTTAAGGAAATACTTAAATTTTCAATGTGCTAAACAGACAACAATTAAAAAACCTCCGTTAAAGTATTTAATAGTATTTCCTTAAGATGAGAAACAGTGTATATTTTCATATCTGCAAAACATAAAAAGAAAGCTTTTTCATTCTATAGACAGGAATAAATTAACCAGGAATTGGATTCTATCAACATGTAGCTAAGGTGTTTAGGCAAATAACATTAATCATACGTAGCACTTGTATTAACAATAGAACATAATAACATTCCATATTCCGTCAGAGATCGTGTCTGTATCTTAAAAGATACAAATTATCGGGCATTAAGATTTGATAAAATGCAAATTAAATAAATTATTTTTGTACTTTGATTGGTTTAAAATACAAGTATACGCACGGACAAGTTCCTGCGGCCCCTCATTATAAAAAAAAATTTGATTTAAATCTGCGAGTACATGCAGTGTTACAATTATTATTATTATTAAGTACAAGCAAAGGCAAATTGTCGAAAGGTTTAACAATAAAAATAATTCATTTCTACCGAGATACTGGTAATAATTATTATGAAATGATACAATATTTGTGAATATGGAGGCAGTTTTAGGAATTTCCTGAGAAAATTATTTTTCTTTGACAGAATCAAATGATAAAAGGTACAAAAAATTTATTCATTGGTTTATACTAAACAATGAAACATAATTAGTTATTGATTGTAACAGCTAACAAATAATGATCACAACATATTAATATTTTACATATTGCTTAAAAAAAGTTGTATATAGGACATTCACATAAACATGCAAAACTGTTAGCTGGACGACAACACAAAACACATTTTATGACATTCACAGTACTAAAAACACATGCTATAAATAATAATTGTAATTTTGCCTAAACACCCAAGCTCATAATTAAAACAAATTTACAAATTCTATAGTATGGACAATACGGAAATATATATTTATATATGTATATATATATCTGTATATGTATAAATAAAACATTCTATTAGAAATTTATAACGTGAATAACATAAACAATTTTTCTTTTTTTTTGAAAAATGTTAGGGGTGTAAAATGTGAGACTAAATTTATCATTTGGGGAAGTCACACTTTGGTTTTATCAAACCAACAACAAAGAAGAAAAACAAAAAATTAAGAACAAGAAAAAAATATATATATAATAATAATAATAAAGAACCAATTCCTGGATGTTAATTTTGGCTGCAATTTTTTCTTTTGCAAATAAAAGCAATTTTATAAATTGCAAGCCAATAAATTAATTGACAGTACAAAAAAACTTTTCAGCCTATACTAAAAGAGGAATGCGAAAAATCAGATAAGAAAAAGCAGTCAGTCCAAGTCATATGAGAACATTTTGTGGTCTCTGCTGAATCCATATTATCACATGTGCACGCCCTAGCGCTTACTTTCAACTGTTAGACGAGCCGACGTTTCAGCCTGTCCACTTGCATTGGTTGCACGGCATGTGTAAATGCCTTCATCTTCGGGAAACGTCTGCCTTATGACTAATGAACAAGAGCCACCATCTTGAAACATCTGTAACATTGATGAAAAATATATATTAATTCACATAAATTAAAAGCAATGATGATTAAATAATTTTAAAATTATAATATTATATTTAGGGAGAATGATATGCAAACTGAACATATGTATATAAAATCATCTACCATTAATAATCATGCACATTAAAATCCATTTTCTTAAGATACAATTATAAATGTGTGTCACAAGATTTTTTATTTCACATTTCATAAAAGAATACAAAATGGACTGGAGATACTAATTGATTTTTAACTGAAATCTTTAAATTCTAAGTAGTGTTTTGTTCTGCTGCAAATAATTAATACTAATTGAATAATTAATTGCAATTTTCAAAGTCTATAGCTCTATCTGAAGCAAAGATAAAAAGCATAAAAATCAAATCTTTGCACATCCTATAGATATACAAAAATTTTTATAAGAAGAAAATTACTTAGCCTATGCATTAACAATTACAGTCGACCCCCTATAACACTGTTGATAATTCCATTTTATATGAATTCCATGTTGTATGAGTCACTTAGATTTTACAAATACGTGTGCCGGGCTGTGAACGGCTCACAACTTGTACAACATGGGATTTATCAACAGTGTTATAGGGGGGGGTCAACTGTACTGTAAAAATATTATTTGGAAATAAAATAATTTCTGTATTACTCTAGAATGAACCAAGAGTTGGATAGAACATAATTAAAGAGAAAAATTTGGTAGAATTTCAGAAAAGCTAAAGATTTATACCACAAAAGTATAAACTTTTCTAACATTAAGCTAAAACTATTTTAATTTCAGTCTAGTAATGAGAAATATAGGTACTATATTCTGATCCATTGTTATGTACATAAGTCAGTAGACTTGTTTGATTATCGTAGGAAAAAGTAAGAAAGCCATCTGTTACTTATGTGTACAATTTTTAAGCCACTTTTGATCTCCTCCCTTCCTTTTAGTTACATGTATATTGGTTTTTGGATTTCCCTTACATTGAATTAATGACTTAAAAAAGTTCTTTGAACTTTTCTAACTGGTAGATGATTCTTTGACCTCATCTCTCCCAGTTATGTACTGTACAATGACATACTTTTTGTTACCTTCTTAAGCTGTACTTAAACTTGTTGTAATGGTATATTTACTTCATAAATCAAAAAATTTGTTTTAACAATTATGATAAATTATATTTTTTAGAACTTTAAGTAACTATAACTTCATTCCCAAAAAATTAAAAATAGGAAGATCTTTTATGTGACAACAAATTTACATTTCATTTCTGTTCATAGTATTAAATAATTGCAAAAAAAATGTTATTGTGCTACTTTATAATAATGAGAATTTTCATTTATAGTTATATATGTTATTCTAACTTTTGGGGGTTAACTTTGTTAAATCTCAACAGCTCTCTCAGTGCTTCCCAATTTACTAGTCATTTGCATAACCATGTTGGTGTATTGAAATTGCATTCCACAAAATTATAAATAATAGTTTTTAATAATAGTTACTGTGTATATAAAATATGCCTTTCTTTCATAGTTGAGATCTGTGGACCTAGACTTATATTGTTATTAGAATGTTGAAATTAGATTTTTCTTCTTCTTCCTAATCAGATTAAGATGTTGGACTTTACAATACTTAAATTTACAAACAATAAAGGCAGATGCAAGTTTGTCGCAATAGTTATCATTTGGCAGTCCAGCAAAAGTAGATGCTAATTCAATTTTTAGCAGTATTGCTGCACTTCTGACAGCCACTAGTAACGTTTTCTACATTGAGATCTACTTTCAAGAGTTCATAAACGTCTATTAATTCTTTAGAATTATGTTCTATTCTTATGTCAATAAGAAAATAACTTAAACAAAAACAATCAAAGTGGCTACTCTTGTATGAGTAGTATGGTGCAGCAAAGAAAATTAGATCTTTTAATAGCAAAAATGTACTTCATATTTGATACTAATAAATCCTAAAATTAATAATAATCTTCTTTATACTATAAATTCTTAGTTTATATTTTAAAACTTTTATATTTCACTTCTACTTATAGTATATAGAAAGAAGTAAATAACATCTGGTAATATTTTTCTATCTAACAACAATTTGCAAAGAATAAATTTTGAATATACACATCAATTGAAAACCTGATATCTTAAGCAAATATACCTACAACTGCCATAAATGATTAATTATATATTCAAAATATAGCCCAATCATTTACAGCAGTTGTAGGTGTATTTGAATAAATTCTGTTTATAATTTAACAAGATTTGAATTTATATGAAAATATTTTATTTCTTTTACTTACATTGAAATATGTACCAAAAAATATTCAATGACTATTGTTCACCATTATTAATATGACTGATAAATCTTGGATATAATTATAATTACCAGGATGTTTTATTAATAAACACATTTTGCTAGATTTTAGCTATATATAGTAAACAAATGAATATTAATGGTAAAGAATATTTTTGTTTTCCTAGTAATAAATGCTTTCTTCATAAAAATTAAATAATTCAAAAAGTACTTAATTATGTATAGAGGACTCAAAAACTGTACATATAATTAGTGGATAGTCCCTTATACAAATAAACTAAAATGAATGTTTCAAATAATCTGAGAAGAAAAGTTAATATAAATTGCAAATTAAACAAAACCCAAAATGAAAATACTTTATCTGGAAAGATAATATTAAGAGACATGTCAATATAGTTTTAATGTAAAAGCTTTGAATATTTTTATAAATTTATCCCTGGTTTTAACTTAAGCAAATTCAGTAGTATTCACAAATGATTATTTCACTATTATTCATATGTGTGAGTTATGTATCTTTATGATCATAAGCAGTTGCATAACTTGAACTGATATTAAGAGGCAAAAGAAGAACATGCATATCTATACTCGCCCCTGTATCACTGTGGATACAGTAAACTCAAGTATTGTATAAATCTTCTTAATTTATTTATTCATAAAGGTGACATACTTGAAAGGTAACTTAGGATCAGTAGCACAAACAGAGTACCCCAAGCCCATCTATGGTTATGCTATTGATCATTAATTAATTGATGTTATTTTTTTAACTTATGTGTTAATGTAGAGAAATAATAAACTGTTCTGCTCAATCTTCTGATTATTTTTTAGGCAAAAATAGTCTTTACACACAATGAAATGAGATGAAAGTTTAAAAACTTCATTTAGCAATAATATATTAGATTCATCTTATTGATATTTGTTGTAATTATGTTTAATTTAATTAATAAGCTTAAAGCTTAGTGCAATTTTCACTAGCAAATGTCTACATAAAGTAGAATGCAAAAAAGTGAATTTTTTTTCACTCAGTAGATTGTTCCACAAACTGTTAGTGAGAATAGAGTGCTTGTGTTAAAAGCTAATTCCAAGTATCTGTTAGTAATAGCTATCTTTAGGATTCTTTTTAAAATTAGAATGTTCGTTCTTCAATGCTATGTTTAGATCATCCTCTCTCTTAGAAAACAATAGATTTCTTGACTATATTGGCATTCAAATATGTTTACCACCAATTATATAATTCTCAAAACTAAAAAATTTATTGGAAATGCCATCAGCAATTGCATAATATTCAATCTATTTTTTGCCAGTGATTCACAAGGATCAAGAGTTAGAAGTTAACCAATTATCATTCATTATATTTTTAGTACATGATGCTTCTGTTATGAATAAGAGCATATATGAACTAAGCTTAATTATAAATTATATAGACTTTTAGAAATACAATCTTTTTTTTACTAATTTGTCACATAGGATTTTTAGTTTGATAACTACTTGAATATAAATAACCAAACCAAACATCATAATAAGGAGATATTTTTATTTATTCAAAGTTATAACTAAACTAGCAAAGGTATCTGCATCTGTGAATCTGAGCCAGAATCCTAGAACAGAACTAATTTGGTTATGTTGGGTACCATTCATCACTACCCAGCTGATACAATTGTAAGTTGAGATTGTTCCTAACAAAACAGGGTAACATATAGTTTTGCTGATGCTCTGCATTAGCAAAATTAAATGGTCATTATGTGAACATTTGATCTAATGCATTTTTAAATTAGTACATCAGGACATATTGAATGAATTGACTTATTATATACTAGCAGATGAAGCATTGGCAAAAAGTAATGATGGCAAAGATTAAAATTATTAGACTATAGCCAATCTTATCCGTTCTTACCCATCAGGGCCTGCTCTAGGGGTGGATGGGCAGCATTTTGGTTGTGAATGTGACAAAATATTTATAAGTTAAATACGTAATTAATTAAAATATATATTTGTCAATTTTTTTCTGTGGGTAAAATTTGCATTTTGTATTTATTATTTTTGCCTAAAAGCTAAGAAAATAGCCATTAAAGAGGGCTTTTGGGCAAAAGGAAAGCATAAGCAACAATGTTAAATTTTGTCCCAAACCTTAGTGTCACCTTAAGAATACTGCCGATCATGCCAATAACTGTAGCTAGTGGGGGAAAGGAGTTTCTCTAAATAAAAATTAATTAAAAACTTTGGTCATTTTGGCAATTGTGCCTGAAACTGCCGATCAAGTAAACTTAAAATAGTTAATAAAAAAGTTTGCAGAACTAAAAGTGAGAAAAAGTTTCTTTTGATTTTAGTATAGTTGATGTACTTTTGTTTAGTTTTTATAGGATATAAGTTTTTTGTTTAATTGTACAATAACACATTTTTGTAATATCATTAAAAATGCATCTAGTTAACAATTTGTAACTAGGTACAGATATATTTTAATTTTTACTGTTTTGTACTACTTGATTGTTAATTTTATATTACATGTTTCTCTCTAAATAAATTAAAGGGGCAGCAATTTGTCTTTTCATCCGGGGTGACATAAATGCTTGAGTGGGTGCTGTACCCATTTTCACTGAGTGCAAGAATTAGATCCCTCCTCTTCTGAGACTAATTAAAGAATTTTTAGATGGGTCTAAAAAGATATTTGATTTCCCAGAAACACGCAAAAAACCACATCTAAAATAGTACAGTAGAAGCCGAGTTTGTCAGGGTAATCCTTAACTCTCTCCCTTTCCCCACGGGGGAGGGAATTTCAAAAAATTCCTTCTTAGGGTACATCATGAGAATGTATGTACACTAACTGTGTACCAAATTTCAACTTTCACCTTCTAACTGTATGGACTCTCCACTTATCTATATCAACCCATCTCAATTATATTATAAGATTGGTAAACAATTTCTTTATATACTATTATTAAAATCATTATACTATGAGAAAAATATAGATATGAAAACCATTATCCCCAAATTAACATTTTAAAAGTTGACAATCTAGATAAGCAAATTTGCTCAAGACTTCTATTTTTCTTAATTAAAATTAACAGACACCCAAACAGAGTTAATTATATACCAAGCCATTTATCTGTTTAGAAAAATAACACATTTTTAATGATATTCATGAAATTCAATCAACAAGAATGCCTCATTCAATATAGTGTACATATTTACAGTTGCTGATCATTGAGTTTATTTTTTATTTTTAGCATAACAAAATTATTCTAAAAAAATATATTAAATTAAAATTCAAAATTTCAGATTTTGCATCTTTATTTTTTAAGGTAGAAAATTACTATATAATACACCACCCTATCAACCATGATAATGATGAAAAAAATAAATTCAGATAATAAAATCAGCTGTTATCATTACATCATCATACAGTAAATTAATTATTTAATTAGCCAAGTTATGGCCTAAAGTAATTTTAACTGTAGATAGGTGATTAAGTCACCATCATGTATTTAATTAATTAATTTAGAATATTCTGGAAGAAAAGATCAATCTAGAGTGAGACCCAAACTCACAACTTCTCCTTATCCAGACTGCCATTCAATCTTTGCCTTCAGATCAATTAAAATTAATTTAGAAAATATAACCATACTAGTCACAATTGCCTACCTTTAGTCCAAACTATGACCCAATAAATGATAATGTCAGATTCATTATTTTAAAATTTTATATATAAAAAGAAAAATTCTTATAATATTATGTACATGTTTGCTGGATCTGTTTCTAGTATATTAATATAGCAAAATCAAAATATGAAACCAGTACTTTAATTAGGTTTATGTATTAAGTATTAAGTATTAAATTCTTATTATATAAATCTTTCAATGTATAACATTAATACTATTTTCAGAAATTCAATGTTTTAGGGAGAAAAGTATTTTAATATTTTAGAAGAGACTATTTTTACATGCCAGCTGGCTCAGATGTTGGTTTTTTTGGGCCACAGACTGAGACCCTGAGCTTTCAAATTTGTAAGAAAATTTGGTAAAAACAATCTTTTTTGCAAATATTTTGGGCTCTGAAAAACCTCCAACAGGTCCCTTGCTTACAAGAAAAAAAATATTTATGCAATCACTACTTGCTTCTTAATAAGAAATATGTGATAAATTATGCTACCTTAAATGTGATTTTATCTTCAATCTCTTGAACTAAGTAGGATTTTTTTTGTATATTGTATATTATAGAATTAATTTCCAATGACTTGAAAGTGTTATAAGTATCAATGGCCAAATGGTCACAGTGGTTAAGGCATCAGCCTACTGCTCCAAGAATCCAGATTGAATTTGGGCCCTATCCCTTACAACCTTGACACCCCATAATGGGTAAGGAAAAAAGGCTTTAGTGTCCACAAAGTAGAAAGAGCCAAAAATAAAAAAAATTAACTTCAAATTATCAAGCAAGAAAATAAAATCATAAGAATCCAAACTAGCCATTAGATTTAAATATGAGAATATAATTATATTTTTGAATGCAATAATGAATTTTTTATTGGAAGTATTATAATTTTGAAATTGAATTTTTAAACCTAAATCATGATGAGAAAAGTACATATAATGAAAATTAATCAATTGAACTGTTATCTGCTTATGACTAATTATGATTAAATGTTATCTGCTTATGTACATATCAAATGCATGATGGTATTAAACAAATTATCATAGATATTCCATTGTTTTCATAAATGGTTAAAATTAGAAATCATATGACATGGAAAATATACTTTTATGATAAAGTGCAAATACTTATCTATGCAAGTACTAATTTTCTTTAAATGTAATTTATTGATATGGTCCTTATTTTTTTAAACTCTGCCCCATGGACACTAAAAGGGTCTAATTTTTCATATTGTAGGTTTGGCCAAGCAATGAGGGATGAGGTCCAACATATTTGGGACAAACCATCTGTGAAAATTACCAGAGAGTTGCCCAGATTTGATCCTGGCTCCCACATTGGTAGATTGATGCCTTAACCACACTTGCCATTTGATCATCAGATGTAGTTTTTATGCTCATCAGAAATCAAACTTAAATAAATTCCTTATATGTATAACATTTCTGTTATATAAATAGGCATTAGATTTAATTGTTCTAAAGCAATTTAAACTCCAAAAGAGCTAAATTTTGGACTTTTATCAGATATTGTAAATATTTTTTAATATACTGTAGAGTATTGCAAGATAATTCACTAAAGAATTCTTCATATCATTCCTTTACTTATGAATGTCCAGAAAGGTGCAGAAGGAATCTTGGGTTCTGTGCAATAATACAATAATTTGAACAAAAAAAAGTTAAGTAAAGGACATAACTTGTTATAAAATCCAAATATGTATTTTGCCCTAGGTCCCGTTACCCTCTGGGTGGCCCTGTACATACAACAATGGATTTAAATCTAGATTAGGGTGACCAATGTTCCCAATTTCTGGAGACTGTTCCTGTTTTTAATATTTGATTGATTTTACAACCTTTAAATAAATCAATTTTATTAACATATAAATTGGTAATATTATATTAACAATATCAATAAATAAATAAATTTAAAAAAAATAACTGATGTTCAATTACTTTTAGACCCATTTTCACTGATTCTGAAATGTGTCCCCAGTTGGATTATAAATGTTATGGTCAACCTATCTAGATCTACTTAGAAAGTTGCTTTACAACTTGCTAAATAATTAAAGTGTTTAAGTTTGTTGGAATGCTATAAAAACAAATAATAGTATATTAACATTATTAATGTTTAGTATCTACTTATTAGTCTATGAGGAAATTTCCTAAGTGTTTTACATGATAAATATCAATCATTGGTTCTATAACTTCTTTAAAATGGTCTTTGGTTTTGCAGTAGAACATTACTCATCATCATATATCTAACTAACAAAATAGCAATTGTACATGACTTAACTTATAGAGTATGATAATGTGACTTAAATAAAAATTTTTCTACTAAGTACTTTCAGACATTTCTTGTCTGTCAGAGTTTAAATCTCATAGAATGTGTTCTGAAACTTAAAACTTAACTTCAATTCAAACGTTGTTGAGTTTCAGAATTGTTTGAAGATGGGCAATTTTTCTTAGTGCAAAAGCACTTATAATTTGGTTCAATTATCTTGCAATAATTGTATATAATATATGAACTAATTAATAAATATAATTTCAGAAATATATAATATGAAAAGAATAAATTGTTATTAAATAATCATAAATAGTAAAAGTTGTAATAATTTACAACAACCAAAATGTAAATAATTTCTTCTTTTGCTGAGTTTATTGACATTAAAAAACTTTTAAACTATGCTGTCTTTCCTACAAACAATAAGAAAGCCTTTTTCCCATGTTCAACTGGACCCACAATACAGCATTTATGTGATGATGAATAAGCCAACATAATTTGAAGATCTAACCAGAACTAATCTTGATCAGACTGCCAAGCAGTTAAGATGTCAGGCTACCACTCTGGGGACCTGAGAATGAATCCAAACAGGTCTAAAAAACCCAGCCACTCCATAGAGGGCTTTTATAATCAAGCCCAGATAGAACCCACAGAGTGAAAGAGTAAAGAAAAGAACTAATCTGAACTAGCAGTTCATAAATTATTATTCAGTCATTACTGGATTTTTAGCTTCATCTATTAAGTAATAATTTAATTACTTAACAACACATCTATTAACAGAGATTAAAAACAAAAATAGAAACATACTTGGAAATCTCTTGTTGGTTTTATGATTGCTCCTTCTCTGTACCATGTAATTTTAGGTGTTGGTGTTCCTGTTACAGATGTTACAAACCTAGCTGGAGTACCTTCAGGTACTTTCAAATCTGCCAGTGGATTTAGAGAGGGAGGTACTTCGGTCGATTCCGGCACTGTAAAACAAAAAGAAATAGTTTACCAATTATTTCTATGGTGTAAAAATGTTGTTTTTTTTTTTAAGAAACAAAACTTTCTTTACCTATAACTTTTAAATTTGCACTTGTTGTAATCATGCCAGCAGAATTTGAGGCTACACACTTATATACACCTTCGTCTTCGGGAAAGGCCTCTGATATACGGAGTGAATAAATATCTTTTTCTGTTGACATGCGGAAGTAACGAGATTGTTTGACTAGAGTGTCTCCTCTGTACCACTTGACTTGGGGTGCTATTTAAATTATAAGAATTGTCAGTATTTAAAATTCGAAAAACTTGATTTTGTTAATTAGTATAAAAAGGTACTCACCAGGTGTTCCTGATATTTTACACTGGAACACAGCAGATTGTCCCTCTTTTACAGTTAGATCTTTCAATGGATCTACAACTTCAGGAACTTTACTTTCTTTTCCTTGATCTTTAGAAGCAGCTGATTTTGGTTTAGTTGGAGCTATTAAAACATTAAAAAATGATTATTTCAATATTTTTATAATAAAAATTATCAATCTTTTTGATTATATTAATAAAAAAATAGTTTAAAACTTACATTCAATAATAACATTGGCTTGACAACGAGCTTCTCCAGCCTTATTGATAGCAACACATTCGTATGAACCTGCATCTTCATTGACAGCTTCTAATATTAACATTGTATAAAGATCGTCTTCTTCTAATAATTTGTGTGTAATGTCAGGAACAACTTTCTTTCCATTCTGAAAACATTTTTACTTTCATTATTAATAAACTAAAGTATAGAACTTATGTTATCTCAATAAAAATTCAAATTACCTTTAACCAATAGACATCAAATGGTTTTGATCCGCTCACTTTTGCATCAAGGCGAACCAGCTGTCCAGATTTTGTTGAACAGCTTTGAATGGTGCGAGTGAAACTTGGTGGTACTACTCCACCTCTCTTTTGTTCTTTTCTCTCTGATAATCAATAAAACATGCATATATAATTATAGAAATAGTAAGATTTAATCTACTGTTTATGAAAACTCACCTTCTACAACTAAATTTGCAGAGCTCTTTGCTGACCCACCACGATTTTCTGCTTTCACCGAGAATACACCACTGTCTTCTAAGTATACTTCACGAATGACCAAAGTAGATTTCTTATCAGTTGTAGTAATCTAAATACACAATTAAAAATTATAAAACAAAACGTTATGAACATTTCTTCCAAATATCATTCTGTGGATGAATATGTAAAGATTCATACCTGGAAATCTTTAGAATTTTGGATAGGGAAGTTTTCTCTAAACCAGGTGATATTTGGAGTCGGTGTTCCAGTAAATATACATTCAAATTTACCAGATTCACCCTCAAATACTCTACATGGTTGGATTTTCTTGGTGAACACTGGTGGTTTTGATTCGGGCTACAAAAATTCATACAAAATTAATTAATTTGCATTATAATCCACTCCAGAAAAAATATTAACTTATTGCAATATACTTACAACTGGTCCAGCAACTTTTCTTTCTTTTGTTTTTCCTTTGTGTTCCTGTTCCACTGTTTCTGTTACGGTTGTGTGACGGGTTATTTCTAAATCACCTTGAACTTCCTTTTGTGTTTGTTTTTGTTTAGAAACGTGAACTTCTTTACCATAAACTGTACTTTCAGGAGATGTTGGAGGAGGTTGTGGAAACTGTATTGTTTTACTGTCACTAAAATTTATATCCAAAATTTAATAAACGATAGAGAGAGCATAACGTAACAAAAATCTAACAATACTTACATTTGTGATTCATATGTCTTAGCCATATACTGTACTTGTGATTGTTGTTCCACTCGTTTTTCACCAGTTTTTTCATCATACTATAAATAATTACATATTTTATATATTTAGTATATACCTTTATAAAATGAGGACTGTAAAGTACTTACATAGATTGCTTCAGATTTATAACGTTTCACTTCAGGTTGAAGTTTTTTAAGTTCTTCCTCCTCTAATCTTTTCTTTCCTTTGATATGATCACCTTTAAAACAAGAATTTATATAAATTTTATAATAAAAGTTAGAAGTTATAAATATTTAGAATAATATACCTTCTTCGCTCTCCTGTGTGTGCCACACATCGATACGAGTTCCACCAGGTGTAAGCTTTTCTTCAAATACGTCCTCCAGTTCGCATTCTTGACGCTGATGCTGGTAAGATCTAATTTCACTGTCATACCATGCTGCAGAAAAACAAATGTGTTAAAAACTGTGTAATTAATATTCCTAAAATCCATTTCCCTTCAACAGAATTTCCTGGATGACAAAATTATACAAAAAAAATATTTTCAGTAGAAAAACCTGCCATTTCACAAAACACTCAGTTTATAAATCCTGAACAGCAGCTGAAATGATTATTACAAAGATATTGCACATATAGAAGGCATGCACAAAAGTATTCATTAGTAGAAAAGTATTGACAGAAATCATACCTATATAATCCAGATTTCCGAGTCATTGATGTGAGCAAGATAGAGAGCGTGCAAGAAGAATCGGCAGCCGAAGAATGAAGCAGCAAAGCTTTTGTAGTTTCTTCAGAATAATCATTGGTTAATTGGCGAAAGATATTTACATCTTCTCAGATTTGCTTGGCATAATTCGTTAACATGCTTCATACTTTATTAGTTTTATGTTTGATTTTTAAAACTAAGTATATATATAGATATATAAATTGTTATTGAATTTGTGTATTTGAGTGTAAGAGGAGGTTTGTATTAATTGTATGTAAGTGATAATATCTAATATTGCATAGGAATTCCAGTTCTGAGTTCAGATACGAATTGTTTAGAGGTAAATTTTCATCGATAAAATCTATAGGTTTTCATTTGCTGTATCAATAATGATGTAAAGATGTGTAGAATACCGAACTCTGTCTGTATACACATCATAATTAAATTGATCAGCATTGAAACACAGAACATGCAGTAGTAATTTCATGTTGATATAAGTAGTGTTTCAAAGTTGATTTATAGGAATCTCTTCATCATTGTAATAATGTTCAATAATCACACTTAAAATACAGAGAGGAAGTATAATAAAATGTCTTCAGATAGGTCAAAGAAACACACACTTAGATAATTTTGTAGTAATTGATCCTTAGTTGTATAAGTTTAAAAATATATGTAATTATGTTTTATGATACTATCAAACCCAACTAGATCATCAGTTTTTATACTTTCTCTGATGGATTGAAAGTATTCTCCTTATGCCATGAGGATGGTCATCCAACTCCTTTTGTAAGAATTTTTAGTTTAATTTAATCCAGTACAATTCAGTTTTTAAAAAATTTATATAAATAATTAATTTACTCCTTTTTTTTAATCAATATTTTAGTCAGATGTTTTGACTAAGTGTATGTGTTTTGATTTTAAATGAAATTTTAATTAATAATTTTTAATTATATATATTAAATTGATGTTTAATTTTAGCATAAAGTTTTTAAATAAGCTTTTAGAATTAATTTTGATTAGTCATAAGCAGAGTTCTGTGTTTAACTGAAAAGAGAAGCAATAGTTGTTTTGCCCGTGCAACAAAAGTTGTTAATGTCATCTTAGTTGTATGCATGAAATATTATAGTGTAAAACATTGTATGACTCGTACAAGCATCAACACACACTCATCCATTCACACGCAGACTACACTTAAAGATTAATGTTGCAGCCTTCCACTTACGTCTCGGAGAATTTTTCAAAACGAGTCGGTAGTCATCATGTCGTGGTCTTACTTCTAATGTTGTCCAACAGCATGCCTCTCCGACTGCATTTCTGGCATAGACTTCTACTTTACCTTGATCGTATTGTCTAGCTTTTGGTATGTCTAAGTGGTATATGCCATCATATGTTAACTTATAACGTGATCCCTAGGATAAATTGTGAAGAATTTATAAATTGTTGACATTATAAATATAATGAAATTATTATATAATTGATGATAATGGATGTAATTTTACTTACAGTGACGACAGTGTTACCATTGAGAACCCACATAATACGTGGTCTTGGATAACCGGTTACACGGCAGCAGAATTTGGCCCACTCTCCTTCAACAACGTTCTGTGGCTCTGGTTTCATAACAAATACTGGAGGTGCTCTTTCTTGTGGCACATCTTCTGGATATTCCACTCTTTATTAAAAATAGTATTTTAGTTTCTTTTCAAATACTATCTAAACTCATTTTTTCCTTTATATTCAACAGTTAAATCTTATAGTAATTATATTTTACCTTTGCCAGGATGCTTCCATTTCTGCAATTTTCTGCACACCACTTTCCATTTCTTTGGGCAGTTGTGTTCCATAAATCAATGGTGGTTTACCTGTTGAGAAAGATTTTGAATTATATAACAAATAATTCAACAATATTAAAATTTAAAATAATTTGAATATACCTTTGCATTTCAATGTTGTTTTAGTTGTATCCTCCCCTAATTCATTAACAGCTCTTGCAACATATTCACCAGAATCTTCAGCATATACATAAAGAATATCAAGAGCAACAAATCCAAAATCATGAGTAGTTTTGAAACGATGACCTGATCTCAATGGTTGTCCATTATGATACCATTCAACCTTCAGTTTTGGATCATTGATCGGTTCTAATCTGCACTCGAAATGTGCACTATCTCCTTCGTGAAGATTTTCTTGTGGTTGGATCTGTGTTATGAAACGAGGAGGTTGCAAAGGTGTTTCTTCACTGGGTGCTTCGTATGCTGGTGGATATTCCAGATCCCTGAGTTTTTCTGCAGACATTCCTTCTGGAAGTTGACTATCCATAATGATATCTCTCTTACCTGAGTAAAGATGAAAGAAAATTATCAATAACAATAATTTATACAAATACATTAAGTTATTATTTCCAAAATTTACTTTTGATTTTGAGAACTGCTTTCGTAGTATCAGAGCCATATTTGTTAGTGGCACGACAGAGGTATTCTCCAGAATCACGAGGGAACAACCAATCAATTTCAAGAACAACAAAACCGAAATCATCAACAGTGTGTACACGAGTGCCTAGAAAAAAAGCAAAAATAATTTAAAATTATAAGCATTAATATATTTATAATAACAATAATAGGGGTGTAACAAATGTTTACCTGTTGTAAGAGGCTTGCCATTTAAGAACCACTCAACTTTCATATGTGGATCACCAACAGGTTCCAAACGACAATCAAATCTTGCAGAATCTCCTTCAACCTTATCAACCAAGTCTTGTATTTGAGTAATAAAATGTGGAGGCATCTTTGCACCTTCATCGTATATAACCTCTTTTGTCTGATACATTGATTCTTCTAATTTCTGCAAACTTTCAGTTCCAGATCGCCATTCATGGGGAAGTTGTGGTTCCATAACTACAGATTGTTTGACTATAACAAATATTTTACTTTAAAATTTGTATCAAAATTAAATTCTAAATTTTTAGGAGTGAATTTATAACTATCATACCTTTTATTGTTAATTTAGCAGATACTGTTGCTTCTCCAATTTTATTTATTGCTTTACAAGTGTATGTTCCTGAATCTCTTGAGTAAACTCCAGCAATTTCCAAAATTACAAATCCAAAATCGCTGATAGTTTTTACTCTTGAACCTGTTGGCAAGTTTATTAAAATGTAAAAAATTTCATAAAAGAATTACATTAGCTCCATTTCATTTTACTAAGCTGTTTTAAACCATTAAACATAAAAATTGGAGCTATTTTAAGGTAAGTAATTCATGCAATACCTGTGATGAGAGGTTTGCCATTATGGAACCATTCCACTCTCATTGATGGATCGTTAGTAGGAACGAGTCTGCATTCAAAGTGAGCCAAAGCATTTTCTGGTAGTGTTTGATCTTCTATAGGCGTGAGAAATTTTGGTGGTTGAGAAACATCAACATCCATCCATTGTTCCGCTAATCTCTTGTCTGATATTTCTTCAAATTTGGCAATTTTCTCAATTCCAGTTTCCATTCCCTCAGGAAGTTGGGTTTCCAAAATAATGCTTCTTTTGCCTTTTATATTTATAAAATATTTAAAAATCATAAATACGTTATAGATTTAAGTCACAGTTATTAACATTAATACTCACCTTCACATTTAACAGTACATGTGGTAACGGCTTCACCAACTCTGTTTGTTGCTCTGCAAGAATATAAACCGCTGTCTTCTGGATATACAGGACTGATCTCCAGGACAACAAAACCAAAATCATGAATGGGACGAATACGAGTACCTATTGGTAAATAATAAATTAGTTATGATATTGGGAATTTTAACTGTTATTATTATTTAGGACTGTCCATGAATTATGTAATGTAGATATGTGGGTATGCAGATAACTGTTATTATGCATTACATGGGATGGGAGAATGATTCATAAAAATGTTACATAATGCTAGGATCTCAATCCTTGAAAACAGAAGGATTTATTTTTGTTTCTGAAGAGTGTTGCATAGCAAACTGGATTGTTTGTCACTGCTTTGTATATTATACATATAATTAATACTGTGTATTATTCCTTAATACAATTAAGAGGATTGATCAAAGATATGAAATATGTAATTTATGGACAATTTCTTAGATTAATTATAAACTTTACCAGCTCGTAAAGGTTTTCCATCTCTAAACCATTCCACTTTCAGTTCTGGATCATCTGTTGGAATAAGTCTGGCTTCAAGATGAGCATTTTCACCTTCTCTTAAATTGGACAGATTTTCTAAAGGAACTGTGAATCTCGGTGCTTCTCTTCTCTGATCATCAACATACTCTCTACGAGAACGATATAATGATTCCTCTAACTGCATGATTCTTTCATTTCCTCCTGCCATTTCTGGTGGTAATTGAGGGTCTAATATGATTGAACTTTTTGCTATAAAAAGAAATAACTTCAATTATAAGTAAATGTAATAAATTTTATTAAATAATAAATTAAATGCAACATACATTTACAAATTAAACTTGTTTTAGTAACATCTGTGCCCAGTCTGTTTGTTGCTTTGCACATATATTCCCCACTATCTTCTGCATAGCAATAAAGAAGGTCCAAAATGACAATTCCAAAATCATGGAATGTTCTAAATCGATGGCCCGAGCTTAGAAGTTTTCCATTAAAGAACCATTCTACTTTCATGTTAGGATCGTTTATTGGTGTTAACTGAGCTTCAAAATGAGCACTTTGACCTTCAACTAAGTGTGGCAAGGGCTGGATTTGTGTAACAAATTTAGGTGGTTGATTTATGCCCTCTACTGAAATTTGGCTTCGATACTGGGTGTATGATCCTTCTAACTTGGCAATTTTTTCCAAACTCTGTGGCTGTAACGATTCTCTAAATATCTTTCCATGACCTATAATATATCATATTAAAATATGTTTATAGATCCATAAAAATCTATATAGAAAATAAGAAAATTTACCAGAACATTCAATGATACATCTTGTTGTATCAGATCCAAATTTGTTAGTGGCAACACACACATATTCTCCACTGTCTTCCACATGGACGAAAGATATATCCATCACAACATATCCAAAATCACTTAGAGTCTTAATACGAGAACCTAAATACACAAGAAACAATGTTTTAATATGTGCATAATATTTTAATAACATGTGCTTTGATATAAAACTTACTGTGTCTGAGTGGTTGTCCATTGTGGAACCATTCGACTCTCATATGAGGATCACCAACAGGAATTAATGTGCATTCAAAATGAGCACTCTCTCCTTCTTTCAGTCCAACCAAACTCTGTAACTGAGTTGTGAAACGTGGTTTCTGTCCTCTGGATATATCTACACATTCTAGATTTACTGTGATTTCTGCATATCCCCATTTGTTAGTGGCTCTACATGTGTATTCACCAGTATCTTCAGGATAAACGCCAAGGATTTCCAACACTACCATGCCAAAGGCATGAACAGTGCGGATACGATGACCTACTTTTAATGGTTCTCCTTTGAAAAACCATTCTACCACCATAGTTTGGTCACCAGCAGGAGTTAATGTAGCTTCAAAGTGTGCAATGTCTCCTTCTGTTAGATTTGTTAAGTTCTCAAATCGTGAAGTAAATACTGGTGGTTGACCGACTTCTTCAGGACCCATTACATCTACTTGTCGTATTAAAGCTTCTTCTAATACCTGGATACTTTCCAATCCTTTCTCACCTTCTGGATGAAGAGTTCCTTCATAAATTGTGCTTTTGCCTATTTAAAATATACACAAATTTAGAATATATTTCTAAAATATACATTTTTCATTTTGACTTAAACTTACTGATGCATGTAATAGTCGTTGTTGTGAAAGCTTCTCCCTGTTTGTTAAATGCCCGACAAGTGTATACACCACAGTCTCTAGGCCAAAGATCCGATATGTCCATAACCACTTGCCCAAAGTCATTGGTAAACATGAAACGTGATCCTGTAATTTCAAACATTCTTTAGATTTGCACAGTAACATTATATTGACTTTAAAAAGTCCATTATTTAATAAATTATTTACCCAAACTAAGTGGTTTTCCATTAAAGAACCACTCAATGCCAAGTTTTGGATCAGCAGCAGGTTCTACTCTACATTCTAATCTTAATCCTTCTCCTTCATTGACTGTGAAATTGGCTTGAAGAGGCACTACAAATACTGGTTTTGGATATTGAATTTCTGCTTCTTCATACGGTACCTAAATTTAAATCAGCCATTTAAAACCACTGAAATTTCTTTAGATTGCCTTTTATAAATTTACGATAATGTGCATTTACTTGATATTTTGTCATGTAAGCTTGGTCAACTTCCCGAACTTTTGATAATCCTTCTTGGCCCATAGGATGTTGAGTGGCATATATGATGTCATCTTTGCCTTTAATATAAAAATTTATGTTTTAGAAAAGTTTTTTAATGCATAAAAAATATTTCAAACACTATTTATTTTTATTTACCATGAACTTTTAGCGATCCTGTGGTGACGGCTTGACCTTTGTTATTTGTTGCTCTGCAAGTGTATATACCAGAATCTTCCGTGATTACATAAGATATGTCCAAGGTAATAAATCCAAAATCATTTTTCACAGTAAATTTGGTAGCTGAAATTATTAATGAAATTTAATTATATTCATTCATATATATTTAAGTTATATAATTCTTTCTGCCCTATAGATATTGAGAGATTTTTTTCATGCCCATTACAGTTTTAACTAACCTAACAATGGAGTTGCTGAGCGTTAAGGAATGAGGTCATCATATGTGAAAATTTCTAAAGATTTGACCTGGACTCAACTTTTGATCCCTCAGAACAGCAGACAAAAATACGAGACTGAATGATTGAAGTAAGCACTTCTATCATTCAGTCTCGTAAAATGATAAAATATTTAATTCTTACCAGCTGGTAAAACTTTTCCATTAACCAAGAACTCAATGGTAAGTGTTGGATCTCTAGAAGGTTCGACTTGACATTCGAAATGTGCCGATTCTCCTTCTCTTAATTCTAAATCATTCAAATGTGTAATAAACACAGGAGCTTCATATTCAGTCTCAGGATATTCAGTATGGACCAACTGAACAGATTCTAATTCTTGGATTTTAGGCAAACTTTCAGGATGTTGTGATCCCAAAAGAATACTTTCTCTTCCTATTGGAATAAAATTAAATTTAAATATCACTTATAATCTATACTTTTCTATTGAGTTCATATAATGTAATATTTTACCTTCAACTTTTATGGTACATGTGGAAATTGCTTCGCCAACTTCATTTACAGCTCGACAAGTATAGATACCAGAATCATCTGGTCTACCACTAATTATATCCAATGTTACATATCCGAAATCAAAAGTTGTTCTTATGCGTGTACCTGATTGAAATAAATTTGAATCATTTATAAATTCTCTATATTCTCTATTTATAATTTTTAATAAATTCAATTATTATTAAAAATATATTTACCTAAAATTAATTGTTTTCCATTTTTATACCATTCTATCTTTAGTTTCTCATCATTTGTTGGTTCAACTCTTGCTTCTAAGTGGATGTACTGTCCTTCCATTATTCTATCAATGTTAGTCAGATGCTGAGTGAAGAAAGGTGCTCTTGGTGGAACGATATCAACCCAAGTTTCAGAAATTTTGGGTTCTGCATCATATTCAAACTTTCGAGTCTTTTCAAAAGCTTCTGGGTATTGACTTTCACTCAATATACTATGTCGAGCTAAAGAGAAATGATTAAGTTTTCAGTAAATATTTAACTAAACAATCGAAGAATGATGCAATTAAAGCATAACCCAAAACTTTAACACTAAATATATTCTGATGAATTGTCTTTATATTGTGAAACATGCCAAAGAAATTCATGAAGCTAAATCATGGTTACTGATGACTGTATGTAATAAAAGGACACAGCAAATGCTGAACTATAATCTGATCAGTCTCTCAACAACCTTGATTCTAATATGCCTACAAATTATAACAGTTTGAAGCCAACTTGATGTCAAGTCATTGGGTTTTGTTTTAATTCATCCATTCAGACTTCAAAATGCATGAGTTTTACCTTTAACTTTCAAGGATGTTGTTGTAACTGCTTCTCCTGCTTTATTAATGGCTTTGCACATGTATATACCAGAATCTTCTGGAATTACCGAAGCAATGTCCAAATTCACCATTCCAAAATCATGTGTTACTTTATAACGTGATCCTAAAGATAAAAAAAATCATTTTGCATAAATTGAAATTGTTACTTGTCTACTGGATCTTTAATATAAATTGAAATTTTCAAATGTAACATACCCATTTTTAATTCAATTCCATTGACATACCACTCGAGATATAAATTAGGATCACCGACAGGTATAACATAACATTCAAAATGACCAGCCTGTCCTTCAACAAGTTCTCTTGGTCCTGTTAATGGTTTAGTAAAGACTGGTTTCTCATATACTGTTTCTGGAGCTTCTGGTCCACGATATTCCTTATCACTCTCCAATCTTTGAATCTTCTCTAAACCTTCTGGATGTTGTGTTTGTAGCTCAATTGTAGCTTTGGCTAAATTAAAATTTATTATTGTTAAATTTTGGCATTATAAATTGTGAAAAATAAGTAAGAATGTTAACTTACATTTCACTTTAATTGATGCAGTTGTTACTGCCTCTCCTAATTCATTGGAAGCTCTACACATGTATACTCCTGTATCATCTGGTCTTACGTATTGGATATCCAGAGCAACATAGCCAAAATCATGTATAGTTTGGAATCTTGACCCTTTAAATAAATTAGTTTAGTATTAGTTTAAATATTCATTAGTTATCTGAAATCTGTGGTCTCAAATCTGCTATTTTATTCAATTTTCATTAGAAATTCAGTAAAAATTTATTGATTTTTTGGTTAAATGTTAGAATAAAGGACAACATATATTATAATATACCTGGTTGAAGAGGTTCATTGTTGAAAAACCATTCTACTTTTAATGTAGGGTCGCCAACTGGGATCAAACGGCATTCCATATGTGCACTCTGTCCTTCTATAAGGTTGTCAAGATTCTGAAGAGGTGCAGTAAAAACTGGCCTTTGACATGTTCTTGGCTCAATATAAACTTCTCGTTTATATCCAGTTTCCTCTTCTAAGGCTTGTATTTTAGCTAAACCTTCAGGATGTTGGGTTTCAGATATTATACCACTCTTGCCTGTAAACAATTAAAAAAGTAATTACAATGCAATTATATTTAAAATGAAGAGATTGTTAATTTTAAAAATTAGCTTCATACTGTGTATTCTTATTGTGATCGAGCTAACGGCTTCTCCGAGCGTGTTTGTGGCTTTGACAGTGTATGTGCCTTCATCTTCTGGAAGGATGTGGCTGACATCAAGAGCAACATATCCAAAGTCAAAGGTGATGTGGAATCTCGAAGCTTATGTTAAAAAATAAATATGAGTACAGGTTTTAAATCTTACAAAAAATTCAGATTTCATATTTAATATTCTCAATATTTACCAGCTTCTAATGGCCTTCCATTATGGAAGAATTCTATTTTTAGCTGTGAATCATGAGCAGGTTCTACTTGACATTCTAGATGTGCACTTTGACCTTCTGTTAGTTCAGTGAGTCCACGCAGTTGTGTCGTAAAGTATGGTTTACAAATTGGTCTTTCTTCAATTTCAATTGTTTCATACCTTGTTTGGCATTCTAATTCTCTTATTTTTTCTAAACCTTCAGGATGCTGAGTGTCATAATAAATACTTCGGCGTGCTGATAAAAAACATATTATTATAATCTACTACGGGATAAATTACAGCAAATTAGTTTGTAATATCTTACCTTGAACCTTTATAGTGCATGTAGTTACTGCTTCACCTAATTCGTTCACAGCTTTACACATGTATGTTCCACTGTCTTCAGGATAACAATAAAGAATGTCCAAAGCCACGTAACCAAAATCGTGAGTTGTACGGAAACGATGAGCTAGATTTAAGAAAAAGTATATTTTTTTCTTCTTCTCTTAAAAGATTCACATGTGTTTACTTTAGAAAAACCTACCTGTTTTAATTTCAATGCCATTCACATACCACTCCACTCTTAAATTAGGATCGTTCACTGGTTGAAGTCTACATTCTAAATGGGCAGGTTGTCCTTCTTTTATGTTATCCAAACTGTTTAATGGAGTAATGAACACAGGTCTCTGTTTAAGTATTGGTTGTTCTTCTACTTTTTCAACATAAGTTTCCTCTAATTTACGTATTTTCTCTAAACCTTCTTCATGGAGTGTTTCTGTGTATATAGTGCTCTTGGCTGAAATAAATCATTTTTTAAATGTTATACAGTAATTCATTTGAATTTTTTAAAGATATCAATGTTAATATTCATCTCGTACCTTTCACCTGGATGGAGCATGTTGTGACTGCTTCACCTACAAGATTTGTTGCCTTACACATGTAAGTTCCACTGTCTTCAGAATACACATACATGATATCCAATGCAACATAACCAAAATCGAATGTAGTCTTGAATCTATGACCTGAAATTATTTTTTTTTGTATGTTTTTCCATGAGAAAGGGTTTCTGATTTCAAAAACAGATAATATAAGTGATGATAGCATACCTTGTTGAATAGGTCTTCCATTAAAGAACCACTCAACTTTCATGTTTGGATCATTTGTTGGAGTAAGTGTAGCTTCCAAATGTGCGCTTTGACTTTCTATTAAATTGTCTAAGTTGTTGAGAGGTCTTCCAAAAGCTGGTTTTTGATTATATATTATTTCCTGTTCTGTCATCTGTTTGTAACGGCTGCCTTCGAGATATTCTATCTTTTGCAAACTGTCGGGTTGCTGAGACTCCAAAATTAAGGATTTTTTGGCTATAGATATAAAATTTCATTATTAAATGATATAAATATTTCAAATATATGTTTTGAAATCATTAAAATATTTACCAGTTACTGTAATCTTAGCACTAGATGTTGCTGTGCCTACTTGATTTGTTGCTCTAACCATGTATTCTCCGGAATCCTCTGCATAGACAGTTAATATGTCTAAAGCAACGAAGCCAAAATCACACCTAGTGCGGAATCTATGACCTGTAATTTAAATTTATAATTTATGTATTTCATATTAGTCTTTAATTAAAAATCTTTTATTACATTTAAAATGTTTTGAAGTCTTCAAATTTGTAAGATATATTCACTAATTTGACATATGAATGTTAATCTAGAAAATTATGATGATGGTACATTTTTCATTTATGTTCATGGTAAAAATATTGTTTGCTGTTTTTTCTATTGTTAACTAACATTTTGGCATTTCTGCATATAATTACAATTAAATAAAGAATATAAAATACATTATTTTGCTTATTTACGTAGCTGATTAGTGAATGTGAGGCATTAAACACATGTAAGCTAATCTGCTATGCAGTCCTAACTTTTAGTGAAGCTAGCCAATACAGGTGAGGTGATTCAAACCCAAATACCCACAGTACTAGGCTAGCACCTTACTGTACAGCCATTGCTTCACAATGATTTCCAGAAATGTATTTTTATTGATAATCAGCTTACGAATGATTGAAATGACTTACAAATCATTTATTATATTTGAAATGATCATCTAACCTGTTTGTAATGGCTTTCCATTGAAAAACCATTCTATTTTCATTGTTGGATCTGGATATGGTTCGACACGGCATTCTAAATGACTACTTTGTCCTTCAATCAACTTGTCACGACCAGTAAGAGGTGTAATGAAAATAGGTTTGGATGTAATCAGACCCTCCTCGGTGACTTCTCTCTTATAGCGACTTGTATCCTCTAGATATTGGATTTTCTCTAGTCCTTCTGGATGTTGAGTTTCCATTAACAATGAACTTGTTGCTAATGAATATTATATTTCTCATAAATAAAGTAAATTTAAACATATTAAAATATTTTTATAATGATATTCTTATAATACCTTTTACAACAAGAGTAGCAGAACAAACTGCTTCTCCTAATTCATTTCTTGCTTTGCATGTGTAAGTGCCGCTATCCTCTGTTTTTACGTAAGATAGGTCGAGAGCAACAAAACCGAAATCATGGGTAGTTGTTACACGAGTGGCTAGATAAAAAGAAATTAATTAAATATTATATTCTGTATCTTTAAAATTATGTTAATAAGATGAATATTTTAAATTATTACCATTCATCAATGGTTTTCCATTATGGAACCATTCAACTTTCAGTTTAGGATCACCAACGGGTATCAGACGACATTCAAAGTGAGCACTCTTATTTTCAATTAATTGTAGATTTCTCATAGGCTGTGTGAATACTGGTGCTTGAGTGGTGATCTCTTCAATCTCTTCTCTACGATATTTTCCTGAAACTTCTAACGCTTGGATCTTTTCTAAGCTTTCTGGTTGCTGAGATTCCAAAATCAATGAACTCTTGCCTAAAATTAAAGTAGAAAGTTTAATATAGAATTTTAAATAAATTTAATGACTAATGTAATTTTTTATTTTTATTTTTACATACTGTAGCATTTGAGATGAACTGACACTACTGCTTCTCCAAGAGCATTTGTGGCTTTGCAAGTATATGTTCCCGAATCTTCTGGGTATGTGCACATTATATCAAGAGCAACAAAACCGAAACTCAAAGTTTCGACAAATCGAGTACCAGTTTTCACGTGTATGCCATTGTGAAACCATTCCACTTTCAACTTAGGATCTCCCACGGGAATGAGACGGCATTCGAAGTGTGCCCTCTGTCCTTCCTTTATCTCGATACTCTGGGGTGCACTCGTGAAAACTGGTGCCTGTCGACATACTTCTTCTTCGGTCGTGAGTCGAGTATATCTAATACAATAAAACAAATATCATTTGGATGATTAAAACAATTATTATTATTTCTTCCTGACTTCCTGATAGTTATATTCAAAAACTTACCTAGAGTAATCTTCCAGTTGCTGGATTTTTTCTAATCCTTCTGGATGTTGAGTTTCCACTATGATAGATGATTTACCTGAAATTTATTTAAATTATATCAGATTTACAAATCAAAGTACAAATTAATTTCAATGATGAATAAAGTCAAGGGAATCAAGTTTTATTTATGCATAAAATTATAATGCAGATAACTACACATAAATTGTTATAAATTAAGAATTTATATTTACATGGAAGACATAATTTATGGGAGTGTTAGTTCTGTATCAAAACTAGCTATCTGTGTTCTAGAAATCTGTTAACACCATATACGTTTTAATTCTGTATATATATATATATATATGCATGCATAATACACTAAAGAGAATTATATAGAGCTGTGATATGCATACCTCTAGGAGGATCAGAGAAGGATCAGTTAGTACTTCAGGTCTACACAGAGAAGACAAAGTTGTATAACTTCAAGTCTTCCTTATGTATACCTGCTGCTAGAAGTATGTTTAGAAGTATGTGACCTGTCCTAGTGGTATGCATACCAGTGCTCTGGATGATTTTCCTTAGTATATTGAGAGTGATAAAGGTTGAAAACTGCTAGAGTGTAAATTACTGTATAGATGATTCTCTTAGAGTTTAAGAGTTTTCTTATATTATTCTTCATTTTTATGAAATTAGGATAATGATGGATAGATGCCAAAGATGATGAACATGACACATTACAACTTATTCAAAATGAAAAGTATATGTTTGCATCTATCTGCATATAAAAAAAATGCACTAGTTACCTTGGCATGTTAGGGTTGCCGTGATTTCTTCACTGCCCATTATATTCGTAGCTCGACAAGTATATGTGCCAGAATCTTCTGGTACGACAGAAAGGATATTCAATGCTACATAACCAAAATCATGGAATGGACGGTATCGATGCCCTAAAGAAAGTATAAAATTCAAATTGTTTTTCCAAATCTAATTAAATAATAAATTTGGACTTATCATTATCACTGTAAATAAGATTCTTACCGACAGGCAAAGATTTTCCATTATGGAACCACTCAACTTTCAGTGTATTATCATTAATTGGTTCTAGACGGCATTCAAAATGTGCTAACTGACCTTCACGAAGAGCCAAATTATTTAATTTTGTTACAAATTTTGGTCTAATTTTAACAGATTCTTCAACCCAGACATCTTTCCTGTAACGACTTGTATCTTCAAGATACTGTATTTTTTCTAAACCTTCAGGATGTTGAGTTTCTAATATGATTTCACTCTTAGCTATAAAAGATTTTTATTCAGTATATTTTATATTATATAACTCTAATTCAAAATATGTTACTTAATAAATTTACCTATGCATTTGACAGAACAAGATGTTACTGCTTGTCCTAAACTGTTAGTTGCTTTACATGTGTAAACGCCACTATCTTCTGCATATATGCTCAATATGTCAAGTGCGACGTAATCGAATTCGTGAGCAGGACGGAATCTGTGACCTTTAAATATAAGAATAAGTTAGAAACCAGAACTAATAATTAGCAAAATAGTTTATTTAATTGTTTTACGTACCAACTTTTAAGGGTAAGCCATTGACAAACCATTCCACCTTCATGCTTGGATCACCAACAGGTGTAAGCCTGCATTCTAAATGAATGTTTGTTCCTTCAATTGTTTCAATATTATGTAATGCTTTAGTAAATGTTGGTATTTGTGTGATGACAGTCTCTTCATAAGTATCGCGGCGAAAGCGACTTGCATCCTCTAAATGTTGGATTTTCTCTAATCCTTCTGGATGTTGAGTTTCAGAGATAATAGATGATCTTGCTAAATTATAAATTTTATCTTTCAGTATATGAAGATACTCCTTAGTATTTTCTTAAAATTAGTGTATAATTACCTTGTACTCTAACACAAGCGCTTGTGTGAGCTGAACCAAGATGATTTGTAGCTCTAACTGTATATTCACCAGTATCTTCAGGATATGCCGTTAAAATATCTAAGGCAACGAAGCCAAAATCGTAATATGTTTGGAAACGATGCCCTATAAAAAATAATTCATTGTTACACAGAGAACTTTATATACAACTTTATTAAAGCAAATAAACTTTACTTACCAATCATTAGTGGTTTACCATTGAAGAACCATTCGACCTTCATTGTTGGATCCGTGCTTGGTTCTAGGCGGCACTCCATGTGTATACGATCGCCTTCTCGAACCGGTTTAGGATCGTGTAAAGGTATAATGAAGTGAGGTTTGCTTTTAGAAATTTCTTCAATGTTATACTGAGGTTCTTGAAATGGAGCTCTCTCCAAATATTCAATTTTTTCCATGCCAATCTCATGGATAGTCGATGTATCAACATCGCTTTTAGCTTTAGAAATCATATAAAATTGGAGTTATTTATGAAAATTTTAATTGACATTAAGAAAACAATAGATTTAAATTTAAAATACCTTGGACTGTAATTGATTTAGATAAAGTAGTTTCTCCCATGGCATTTTTAGCTTTAACCGTAAATGTTCCTGTATCTTCGCGGAACACGTACAGAATATCCAATGCCACGTATCCGAAATCAAAATATGTTTTAAATCGATGACCTAAATATTAAAAACATAAATTAACATATCTGTGAGTGTATTTATGCAAAATTCTCAAAGCGTACATTAAAATAACGGACCTGTTGTTAAAGGTTTCCCATTGAAATACCATTCAACGGTCATGGATGGATCCCCCATGGGCTCCAGTCGAGTTTCAAAATGTGCACTCTGTCCCTCCACTATATGTTCCTGACAATGAAGGGGTTGAGTGAAACTAGGGCGTTGCGTAAAAGTCGTTTCTTCGTAAGTTTCTCGTTGATACCGAGAGTAATCTTCAAGATGCTGAATCTTCTCCAGGCCTTCAGGGTATTGGCTTTCCAAAACTACACTCTTTTTAGCTAATTATTACAATTTAAATATTAGTTCATGAGATTCATCATGATATGTAAATAATAATAATAATAATTATACTTACTAATACATGTAAGTACTGCTTTTGTGGTTGCTGTTCCCATACTATTTATAGCACAACAAGTGTAAGTGCCAATGTCTCTTGTGTCCACATTTCTTATCGTTAATGATACATAACCGAAATTAAAGAAAGCTGTAATCCTTGAACCTAAAAGTAACAAACATTTTTATGATCATTCTTGTTAATAAAATAAGGATAATTGCAAACTCTAATGCAAGAGTATACACAGGGTCACGCCAATAGATGAGGTAGAGAAGCAACTTCTCCGAGTGCCAAATTGGAAGAGATACTAAAAAGACATTATAATGTTTGTATAAAAGTACAGTACATGGGTGCTGCATGGCTTGCCTCGGAGGCCAAAATTATTCAGATTGACCCTGAGTATATGAATGCCCTTTCATAATTCATTCATTAATGAAATTGCATTGAAATTCTATACACAAAACCTATATTTTATTAGTACTGACTCCTAAATTGATGTAATTAAACAGAGATATACTCACTTGCTTCTAATGGTTTTCCATCTTTTAACCATTCAACTCTCATAGTCGAATCTCCAGTTGGTTCTAATCTAGCTTCAAAATGAGCAGTTCTACCTTGTTGAATATTCTTTTGATCATTTAACTGGGTGCGGAACGAAGGCTTTTGTTGAGGGACAGCATCGACCTCAACAAACTGATGGCGTTGTTGATACTGGTAGGATTCTAATTCCTGAATCTTCTCAATATATTTCTCTTGTTCCGGTATACCAAGATCGGACACAACGAAACCTGACACTGTATATTAACTATTTGTTAGAACAGAAAAAATTTAATTATTGACTGCTTATTAGATATTAATTCTTACCTTTAACTTTAAGTGAAGCCGTAGACATAGCTTCACCTTTCTGATTTGTTGCTTTGCATACATACAAACCAGAATCTTCTGCTCTAAGGTATGATATATTAAGTGCTACATAGCCAAAACTGAATATTGTGCTGATTCTACTTCCTGAAATAATAAATTAATTATTATATATTTGTATATATTTAGTATAAAATTATGTATTTTTAAATTATAACTTAAATTTACCTGCAGTTAAGGGTTGTCCATTGAAAAGCCATTCTATTTTCATTGTTGGATCATTAACTGGTGTTATCTGTGCTTCAAAATGAGCAAAACCACCCTCTTGCAAATTTTCTAAGTTACGTAGGGGTTTTATAAAGACTGGTTTTTGTACTGATACTGTTTCCTCCAATGTAACATCCTTTTTATAATGTTCCCAATCTTCTAAATGTTGGATAGCCTCTATACTTTCTGGATGCTGAGCTTCTCTGTCAATTGCAACTCGTGCTACATAAGAAGCAAATATTAATATGTTGAAGTCTATAGTATCAATTTTACTAAAAATTCTATTAAAGGTCTCTTACCAGTGCATCTTAATGTAGCTGTAGTAGTTGCTTCACCAGCTTCATTAGTTGCACGACACATATATACACCCGAATCTTCAGCATACACATGTAATAGTGTTAGGGCAACATAGCCAAACCTGTATGTAGTCATTACTCGAGAACCTAAATGCAACAATTTTTAAGTACTGATTGAAACATCCTATATTTGTAAGTGGTAATTTAGATACTGACCTGCCTCGATGGGACGACCATTGACAAACCATTCAATATTCATTGTCGGATCACCTATTGGAATTAAACGACAGTCAAAATTTGCTCGATCACCTTCCTGTAAATTGAGATCCTGTAAATGAGTAGTAAATGCTGGCTTTTGTGTTGGGCGCCTCTCTTCTTCTTGGGGCATGTAAGGAGCTGCTCTTTCGACAGGTCGTAACCATATAGTTTCTCTCGGTGGCGAACGCCTATGAGATTTAGATTATAAGTATGGTATAAGAGATATACCTAGTGTTTAAACTAGTGTATTTTTAATTATACTTACTCTGGCTCTATTACTTTATGTGGACGAGGTAAATGCAGTCGCCATGGTTCTGGTAATGGTCGCTCATCAACTGAAATAGTTTCAAGTTTTAGAATGATGTCATGGAATTTAAAATTGTTTTTAAAAATGGAAAACTATTTACTTTCTACATATAATCTAGCACGAGTTGCAGTACTTCCAGCTTGATTTTGAGCAGTGCATTGATACCATCCAGCATCTAGATACGTTACTTTATTAAAGTATAACGTGGAACTTCCATCCATAGTTTCTGTAATAAATACACTGTTAATAAACAATTATTCTGAAAACATCGCACTAAAATGTGATGTAAAAATTTACCAATAATCATGTCTGGAGGTCTGGAATGAATCTGAACACCATCTTTCTGCCATGTGATACGGGGAATAGGAGTACCGACAGCTCTACAATGAAGTGTCACAGGTTCTCCATCTCTAACGTGAATACTTTGAAACCGTTCAACAAATTTTGGTGAAACCACTTGCTCTTTTTCTGAAAGTTAAAGAGTTTGTCAATATCATTTTAATATATTTATGCAATTTGAATATTTTCTTACATACCTATGATATGTAAATTGACTTCGAACTTTGCTTCTCCACTTTTATTTCTGGCTACACATACATAGTGTCCACTGTCTTCTCGGCTAGCTACAGTTATCATGAGTGCATGTACGCCACCTTCATTTACTAGCAGCTTATGAGTGGCATCATCCATAATCTGGATACCATTTTTGTACCATAGCACTTCGGGAAAGGGCCGGCCAGAAACTCTACAATCAAATCTGACCATCTTGCCTTCCGTAATTTCTTTATCAGTTGGGACTTTGACAAAATTTGGTTTCAGCGTTCGAGCTCCACTATCGACTTCATTTTCTACTTGTGTCATTCTAGTTTGACTAGTATCTCTATTAAAAAACACAATGGAATAAATGAATATTGTTTAAGACATAGAAGGAATATAAATTTAAGAATATAAACACTAACATTTGTTGATATTGCTGCTGCATTTGTTGCTGTTGATATTGCTGCTGCTGTTGAAGTTGTTGATAATGCTGAACCTGTTGCTGTTGCTGATAATGCTGAACCTGTTGCTGTTGCTGCGCCGTTTCGAATCTTTGAGTGCTAATAAACTTAGTTTCACTCGTCACGCCAATAGCTTCTATAACCAGGTGAGCCGAGCAAGTGATTCTGCCCGACTTATTCTCTGCTAATAAAGTATAGAAACCGGCATCTTCCGGAAGTGCCATGTGAATATTGAGAGTTGCAACGTTATCGACAAAAGACATTTTGTAACGTTGAGAAGGTAGCAATCTTTGTCCATTCTTAAACCATATAATCTGGGAAAATTTAAAGTTTCATCAGCAATGTTTTAATTTTATAATGATTTTAAACATGTTAATACTTATGATAGTAGGAATAGAAGGGATGTTAGTATCTGGTTAGAAATGTCACTTGTTAATCCTGTGAAAATATAATATGTTAGTTAGGAAATTTAATATATATCTAAATGAATAATAATTTAATTAGGAATTTACCCTTGGTTTAGGATTTCCACTGATTTTAGCCTGGAATGTTACATCAGAACCTTCTAATAATTTACTATTACGTGGACGTTGTGCTAATTGAGGTGCACTCGGAGGTTTTGATTGGTCGTATACTTCTTGTTCCATTTCTTCGGGACGGATTTGTATTAAAGATTCGCGAAATTCGACTTCTCGTAGTAAACGGTACTCAAATGTATCCACGCGAAAACCCTATAAAAGAACACAGAATATTGAGAACTTAGTTCTGATCCTTACTGAGTCCTCCCTACCTCCTTATCACTCCTACCTGTTCAGTTCCACTGTAGTAGAGAGGACTTCCTGGTTCACCATCGTAATCGGAGGAAACAGATCTCTGGAATTGTATGCCATCGTGGACTTGGCGTTCTATTTGTGTATATCTCTGTTGTACGATAGGCTGTCTGATCGTTCTGACATCTACGCGTTCGGTTCTAGTTATCTGCTGAGCTGCTGCAGTGCGAAATTATCAATCAGTATCATTCAATTTTCATTATCAAATTGAGTAACACACTTATTTACCTTGCGCTTCACGGTGTATAGATATCGTTAGCGCCGCTTCTCCAGCGCAATTAACGGCCGTACACGTGTAATCTCCATCGTCGTCCGCTGTCAGGTTTTTTATATCAAATGTACAAACACCAGTATCCGGATTATAAAACACTTGGCGCCTGTATAAAACACAGAATTATATTTCATACGTCGTAAATACGTCATTATAAAGTGTACACACTCACCTGTGATCATTTCTGATAGGCATACCACGCCTGGACCATACAACTTCTGGTGCAGGGTTACCCCTAACCCGACATTCAAAATGAGCATCACGGCCTTCGATAAACCTCCCCCCTGTCGGTGGCTTTTCAAATATAGGGGGAGTCGCGTTGAAGGGACGCTTAAATTGCCTGTTTGAAAATATTTTTCGATGTTAAAATACATTTAAAACATACAAGCGCGCTGGTTATCCCCTGTAAAAGTGTCTTCACCTACATGACACTGTGCATTGCGGGGAAGCATCGCGCATTAAACTTATTTTTTTAACCGTGAATAAATATAATTTTACTTTCTACTTCGAAAATTATTTATAAATGGTCTCTTAATACATTTTACTTTATTAACCGATTTATTTTAATTTTTAGATTCTTAAAAATGAAGGTTTTTTTAGACGTTATACCAAGGAGCGCCTGTACTTTCGAACTAGTTTAGTGTGTTTAAAAGTTAAATATATTAAAAAAACATGGCGAATGTTTAATTTTTAAAGCTTCTTCGAGTTATTTACTCGATTCTATATTGAGTAGACACTAAAAAAATAAAAAATATACCATAATTTTGGAAGATTTAACCGTTTCAACATTGACCTTTTCTCCTTCGACTTGCATACAAAATTTACTTTGGCAAGTCACTACCTGATGACGTCATCAGGTCTCGGTGACATTCTCTTAACAAACTAAAACAAATTATATATATTTTCGCAATATTATAACAGTTAAATAGTCCAATTTCTCTGCAATTCGCTAAAAAAAAAAAAAGTAGCAGCTGGAAGTCAAGTTTCTCTACAGCATCCCTATAGAGAAAGCTGTTTAAATATTTTTGACGAATAACAACTCGGGGAATTAAACAGGAACGTTTAGTTTAAAAAGAATAGCAAGGAATTAGCACAGCTAAACAAGCTCAACATCAATAAACAGCTTTCTTTCTAGATGTGCTGATCGCGCTTTCTGGGTCACAGCCAATTGATGACTATTAAAGAATTAGAGAAAAAATAGGCTGATCTCAGCATAAAAAAGTAGGCAAAGGGGGTATTAAAACTTTTAAAATATGCTATTCTAAGTTCCTAAATACTATTTTAAGTAGGTTAAATATATTTATTATAGTCTAGAATTATTTTATAAAATATCATATAGAACACTTACGCTGAGGGTGGTTGGATCACCATTCCCTGATCTGTCAAAGAAAAGATACCTTTTTGTTAGGATTTTATTAACTTAATATAATGTCACGCGCGTAATTAAAGATATAAAACGAAATTTTAAGCATTTTTTTAAAGGATTTAGAAGCGTTTTTTTAAGGTAGGATAAGGTAGATTTTTAATTAAAATACACGAAAATGGATAAAAAATGACCTCACCGATTGATTTCGCATAGGCCTGGAGTAGAATAGCCACCTATAGGAAGACGACACTATGCAAAATGCCTCTAACACTAGATATTCGGAGGAGAGCATGCGCAAATCCGCTTACAATCTTTCTATCTTTAGAATGGCTGCCAGTCTGAGATCGTTTTACTTACTCCATTTTTGGCACCCGGGATCCTCCCTCTCATCTCCCCCACAACATCCCAAAAATACTGTTAACTTACGTTCATTTTTGATCGTCCGCATCTAAGTCGCGGAAGGCCTTGGCCCCTGACGTAACAGGGGAGGGGGGTCCTTAGTTTCCTTAACAAGTTGTCGGGTCACGTGCCTCTCGCGCACTGCAATTTATATGTCACTAGATACTAAGTTAATGCCGAGATGAATATCGCTTCGCGGTTGAGTCGAAGGGGGCAAAGGTTACATCTGCTGCAAGAGAAACGATCAAAGTCTTGGTAGAAAGCGTGATTATAGTTCTATATGGGGGACGCTAAATAGGGGGACGTGACGAAAATCAAACTTAACCCATCCTTATTCCACTAAGAAATATTTTTAAGTGCGAAAACAAATATATTTCCTGCTAGGAAACTATAATTACACCTTACAGATACCTTACAGCAACAATTGTAGGTATGTAGAAGCAGTGGCGGAATTAGGGGGTTGGACAGGGTGCAGCTGCAATCCCCTTCTGGGGATTTCTCCTGAGCAAAGCCTCGGGTAATAGATTTTTTTAAGGCACATTGTTTCCTTTCCGCGCCCCCTCTAAAGATTTCTTGTTCCGCTATTGTCTAGAAGGAATGAACCTTGAGAAAATCAAGATTAAACTAACACCATCCCCCACAGAAAGTATTAAATGGCACAGGAGACAATTCCTTGCTAAAAAATTTTTAATTGCATCAGTTGTAGATTATCCAGGAGCAGAAAAAATGGTAAAAAAAAAAAAAAAGTCAAGTTTAAAGTAGCCAAACTCCTTACAGGAAGCACTTTTGAAGGATGCGAGAAAAAGAGTATCTTAACACATTCCACTCCAAGAAATGATGATTATGCGTACTTTATAATACGTAGAAGGCAGTAAATTTAAGAAAATTAATTTAAATTATTAAGAAAAGTGACTTTTTAAGAGGTAAAATGACCTTTCTGAATACGTTTCCTGCCAGGGAAAGTAATAACGTTTGAACTAGGTCACCCGTAATGAATATCTAGCGATGAATATCAGCCGTTGTTGACACAAGAAAGTCGTTGGCAAATGTATGAAAGTATCGTCCTACACCCAAACTCTTTTTTTATATCCTTTTATCCTTTAAATCACACCGAACAATAGATACAGAAACACAAGGAAACACGCCATAACCTTGGCAAACAATTTACTTTAATTTGTGCTCTTTAAGTGCAATTTTTCGTAAACAACTCGAAGACTAAAAGATTTTTTTAAATATTCCTCTTTAATTACTCTAAAAAAAACTCTTTAGAAAATAAAGCATCCGTGTAAACCTTTAAAAAAAAAAGTACAGACACATAGACAGTCACACGCCCGTGGCTTACATAACAAAAATAGATACTGTGAAAAAATTGTTACGGCATCCCCTCTATAAACTTCTTTATTTTCTAAGTTCATCGACATTTAAAATAATATTATTTTTTAGATATTTTTCAGCGAAATTTTACGCTGAGGAAATGGAGGGAAAGATGTAAAAATATCTTTTAAAGTTTATAACTATTTAACATAATTATCGTCTATAAATAAGCGGCATTTTTCAACACGCTTCTATGAGTCGAACCAGAGCTTATGTAAATATTGCGTAACTTACCGATGATGTTACGCATCGTCACTAATTAAGACTGTGATTTAAATCGATAACAATCAAGCTAAAAAGTATCAGTAACTGTTACGCGGCATTTTGAAGTGTTGTAACTTAAAGCGTGCATCGTTTCGAGACTTGAACGTTATAAACGGGTGTTGAACGTCAAGGACTCGTAAACCGAACGTTAAATAGAGGAAACGTTTAAAAAAAAGCCTAAAATTGAATGCGTTAATCCATCATCCGAATGTTTTTCCAGCTCTCAAGCACTCGACTTTTAAAGATTGGGAAGAATCTTTAACTTTACACGGCAAAAAATCTGAAATTTATGCTTAAAAAGACGTGAAGATTTAATATTTTCTTAAAGTTTGAAATATTTTTACGAAATTAGTATTAATTTCGAGTATTACTTGGGTATGAAGTTCCTCACACTATCTGCTAGATACGAAGATAGTTCATTGAGCATAATGGTTTCTTCTTAAGATTTTCTGAAAATTTTATTGAAATTCGAATATTTTTTATAACTTTATTAATTTATCATACGTAAAATATTCAAAGCCATTAAAAATTCCACCGATTTTCATGAATTTTTACGAGATTTTTCACTGAAGTTAACGTGGAAACTGGTCATCATTTGGGATGTTCCAGAGCTTAAAACATCGTAAAATCTTTGAAAATTTTCACGAAAATCTTATTTATTAACATTTCTCGATTAAATATCAGAAATTCCTGAATATAAATCGAGTTTGATCTTAATTTTTATGAATTTTTTTTTTTTTTGAAAAGGCTAGAGAGCATCAATCTAGTTAAAGAACTTTGAATTTTTGATTTAAATAATGCTCATTTAATTAAACAAACACGATTGGATCATTTTTATTATGTAATTGAATATTTTGATGACGAAACGGAAATAATTTTTCGTGCTTTTTGTTCTTTTTTTTTGGTCCCATTCCAGTTACATCATTTACAAATGCCTAAATATACTTATTGGACGTGTTGCCAGAATGAAAAAACTAAGAATTAAAAAAAAAATAAAATAAAAGGAAGAAAATTAGAGTAGAATAATCTTATAAAACCAATTTAAATATATAAATAGAAATAAAATGACTCATCTTTATTTTTGGGATTTGACTTTGTACATTTACTTCCTATTGCGCACCATTTTATATCTTTTTTTAAACTTAAAAAATCGCATTTTTATGTGAAATTTTGCGAATTTTTTGAATTAAAAAAAGTAATTTTAATGTTTCTACTCTCTGAAAGAACTAAAATTTCATGTCTAATTCCGTTTTAATCATATAAACTTTCACTTTTTACGCTTTACATTTGCTGGTTTCTTCATCGCGCCGAGCGTAATTTTATGCATTTTAAGCATAATTAAGTAATTTAATAATTAAATAATCCATTCCCTCGCTTATTTACTTAATCGTAATTAAGTTTCTCATTAAACTAGACTCCGGGATATTAATGGGACGAGGATAAATGGGATCTTGTGCGCCTCTCTTAATGATAATCATGCAAAAAAAAGAAAGACAAAAAACTGAGGGAATTAGTGTTAAAAAAAACTCGTATATAATGCGCTTTTAGAAACATATTGGTTTCCTATAAGTAAAACTTTCAGAAATCTTACGTACCTTCTCCTTTAACCAGCTAAAACCCCTCAACAACACTACTACCTTATCCTACCATTTAATCCGGGAGCTACAGCAGCAACTATACGATTGTTAGTCTATGGCACTATTTCTGTTCGGGGATATAGAATCGAGGCCATCCAAATGCGCAACGAGCAAAATAATCCTGTACATCAACTTTACCTGGCCTGAAGTCGTTTGAAGAATCGAATACCAACAGTTAGAAAAATGTTGGAATGACTGCATCTGCCAGGTCATCCCTTTGCTATATATACGAGCGAATGATGTCATATATCCAATTGCTTCAGGCCATGTCCAAATCGTATGACGCGTCATTTTCAATTGAGAAATGTCTCTGTTTTTAGATACTTTTGGAGCAGGACCACATATTACTTAAGCATAACTGATAAATCTACATCTTCCGTCATCTTCAAATAAACCGTGTGTAACCAAACATTTCCCTGTGTCTGCTTTAAAGATGTGGGGATAATTTATCTTTTTAAAAAGGGGAATTGGAAGTTATCCTATACTTTTGTCTTTATGGAATGAAAATTATCCTATCCTGTACTGTCATCTGTAGAAAGCTGAAAGTAATTTGTTGTCTCTGCTTTTAAGAAATGAAATTTATCCCATTCCTCCTCCTTTAGAAAAATTGAATTATAATATAATCCTGTTTTTTTTGGAAAACTGAGCATCATCTTGCTCTTCCTACACTTCCTCCTTTAGAAAAACTGAGAATAATCCTACACCCTAACTTTATAAAATTGAAAATTATGGTATATCTTTAGAAAAATGAGTTACTTACTTCTTTTTTCATTAAAAATAAAGTTATATCCTATACAAACAATTCCTAAAATAACCCAATTCTTGTAATTATCTGTATTAGAAAAGCAGATACAAAATAGCAAATGAGTAATCTAAACACAAAGATATGATACAGAATTTATTTATAGAAGTTTTATAAATTTAAATTCTTAAAGTTTCTAAGAGATGTAAAATATTTAAAAAGGCATGGAACAAAAGATATATTTCCAGATAACAACACCAGAATATAAATAGGATTGGAATTACTTGGGCGTAAGAATAGATAATGATTCAAGAAATTATATAAAGAATTTAAGAAACTTTAGAAATTTTATTTAAAAAAAAAAGTAGCCAAAAAATCATTCAAAAATATTAAAAACATGCCAAAAAATCTTATGATAATATCAAAAAATATCTATAGATAGGATTCTAAGAAATATGAGGAAAGTATAAATATACAACAGTGACCAAATCAATATTATAAATAAATCTGATTCTAGATCCAATTCAAATTGCTTTTCTTGGAGTGAAAACTTTTTAGAAAACTGAAAATTTGAGTTAGTTTTTAAAATAAAAATAAAGTTTTCCGAGTTTTCTAACTCGAGAAATGAGTTTCCTGAGGTAGAAAGCTCTTCTTTCACATTAAAAGTTAAGTTTTCTAACTTAAAAAATTAGTGTTTCCAAGTTAAAAATCTTTATTTTCATATTAGAAAACTCATTTTTTTTATTAGGTTTTAGAAAGGTAAGCTTTTCCAATTCAATTCAAGGATTTTCTAAGAAGTTTAACTCCAAGTAAGCAGGAGCTTCCTTTACAAAATCTTATTCTATAACATGCTATGAATCTTATATTCATAATTCTTATAAAAGTTAAATCATTTTGAACATGATTTCATGCTTAAAATGTTCAAGAGAATGTTTTCTTAATCAAAATTCAAATTCTTTGATTTTCGTGTAAAAAATCCTTTCATATTTTGAGCTTCTACACAGAAATATAACAAAATAAATAACACTTTCAGGGAATAATCACATTTAAGGCATGCTATTATCTATTGTTTTGCTTCAAATTTTATAAATTAAAGGATAAATAAGTATTTATTCTCACACAAAAATTATATTTTCCTCAATTATAATTATTTAAATTACAGAATAAACTGTTTAAAAAAATTCAAAAATATAATTAAAAATGTAAAGTAAAATTATCAAAAATTTAAGTAAAAAAAAAAATATATATATATACTGCATATATTTTTCCTCTTATTGAATAATGTTAATCACTGCAATCAACCTCTTGAAGAATTAGTCAAGTATTACAGTTTAGAAGTTGTGTAGGAAGTTGTGTTAGTCAAAGGTTTTAGTCAGACAGTAAACATGTACCAGAAAGACATGCTTTCTATAAATAATCCAGCATCTGGAGGTAAAGGCGGGCTGCTCTTCCAACAGCATCACTTTCTCCTCGACTCCTCACTGCCGCAAGGTATATTAATGGTTATTTCCTAAGGTCTAGAGTCGGCACGGAGGTCAACTACCTGATCATTTACCCTCTAAGCACCTACCGACTAGCACCACCACCGTGTTATTGTTAATATATATATTTATATATATTCTATAGCCATATTTAGACCAACTAACATCAAAACAAATATATTTATTTATTTAAAAATGAAAATTAAGAGTTACAAATTTGAAAAAATGTGGCACAAAACAGAGAACAAAATAAACCACTACAGGATTAATTGAAGCTTAAAGAACAGGTATTATGAATTAATAATATAGAAATAACTAATTCTTCTTGGTTTGATTTGATTTTTTTTTTTTAACTAATGGTAACTTAATCTTCTTAACTTAGCTTCTTCTTCTTTAGACTGGAAATACCGCCTCAAAGAAGTAAAAACTTTTGGAGAAAAAAATAATAATAATTTGGTTTTAACTAAATCATTTGGTTCCTTATTTAAATTATTAAATTATTTTTGAAATTTTTTTTATTTACAGGGTCGAGCTTGGCTATAGAAACCCACATGCTAGGTCTGATTCAACCTCTCCAAAGGGTTCCATAATAAAATGCCACTTTTTGGGTGTGTATAAAACAGGTTCATTGACATCCTGTTTACAACAATTAATTTAAATGGAGCAAACAACTCCATTTGATATCTTCAAACAGAGCATGGGGTCTAATAAGCCCAGCTACGTCCCTGCAATTTCGTAAAGGCCCCTCACGGCTCCACAAGTGAATAATGGCATATAATATATACTCACCTTTGTTTCTGACGATTAGCTTTGCAGAGGTGCTTTTGGTTCCTGCTATGTTGGTGGCAGTGCAGGTAAAACTACCCTGATCTTCCGGAAAGGCTTCTGGTATAATTAGGCAGCATTCCCCATCTCTATAGGTCATTTCGTAATCTTTAGACGAAGTTATCTGCTGGTGCTCGCGAAACCACTTTATATTGGGTTGAGGAGACCCTGTGACGTGGCACACTAAAGTCACCTTAACGCCTTGATCCACGGTAACATCAGATAGATTCTGAAGTTATTATAAATTTGTTACAGAGCCATCATATTCAAATCTGTAGGGGTATTTTTGTGATAAACTACCTGAATGAAAACCGGTGGTTCCACTTGAGTACTAACTACAGGATCTTCTTGTATGATTACTTCTTTTTTGGGTTTGGTCGTTCGTTTCTCGTCGTCTTTTTTAATTATCGGTTTCGGTTTTTCTTTCGGTTTCTCTTCTTCGATGATTATCGGAACTTCTTCCGGTTCGACATCTTTTATCAACGTTACTAAAAGAGGAGCCGGATAAGGAGTGGGTTTAGCACCACTCCAAATCTTAACTTCGGATATCATCCCTACATCTTCACTCTCAGTTTTCTTAAGCGAAATCTTGGTGAATAACTGTAAAGAGGATTTCAGAATAATTAATTTTCATATCCGAGGCCTAAAATGACTAAAAATTTGGCATGATTGGAATTAGGCAAGGCAACATATAGGCGGTCTGCTCAGGGAAAGTGCCTCTCAGGAAAACGTTTTATGGGAAATTGGCCCTTGTTTAAGTATTAAACATATGAAAAAATCCCGGAAAACTAAACATCAGCCATCAGTTTAATTAAACATGGAACTAACTACACAGTTTTAGGATCACATTAAATCTGGATTTTGATTTATAGAATAAGGAAACAACACGTGAGCTAAGGAGGAGGTCTTTTTACGAGAAACTGTCCGTTTAGGTGTTAGATACGTGAAGAAAACCCGGAAAATCTCCATGCGGCTAGCCCATAGGTGAGGCACGAACCAACGACCAACTATCAGCGTTCGGTGGTTTTATCCACTCAGTCACTATTTGGCACGAATTCACTCACCTCTTTTCTCTCTTCGACCACAGCAACGCGTTGCGTAGTACCGTTGTTGGATTCTTCTTCCACAATTAAATCGGCAGTGGACGTGGCTTCTCCACACGAATTAGTAGCAGTGACTTGAAAGGTTCCAGAATCATCGGGGAAGACCTCGGGAATCAGCAGCTGATGCACATTGCCTATGGATGTGATGCGAAAATCTGGTGAATTTTTTAATTTTACTCCATTTCGGAACCATTCGACTTGAGGTTCTGGTTGTCCGGTCACTTCAGCTTCCATTTGCAGTCTAAAACCAGACTTTACGATAATGGACTGGAGAGGTTTCAAAAATTTCGGCGGGATCAGTGGTACAACTATGGAAAAAAAATCACGATGAACCGAATGTACTGTACGATGGTCAATGGCATATTTTAGATCGTTTCTATCTAATTACCTGAAGTTACAATGTCTGGTGAATGACTTTGGAGGGTTATTTCTACCTGCGAGCATTAAAACGTAACATATTTTTAAACAGGTATGCTTCCATACTTATGGCAAATTAATGATTAAAAAGTTAAAATATTTACTTTGCTTTTCTTCGGTTTATCATCAACTTCTTCCTCTGACGTCTGTAGGATTTCATAACTTCCTTTGGTAAACTTTTCAGCTGGTTGACATATGGTGCTCTTCTGAACTAGGGTGGTCTTCTTGGTCATGACCATGGTTTGAGCTCTAAAATGGAATAGAAAATAAAATAAAGCGTCTACGTAATTATTTTAATTAATTAATAAAACAAAAAAGTCTATTTAATTTACCTGTGCTCCTGCATTTCGGGCGAGGAAGGTGCTGGTTCTGCAATATAGTTATATGATTAATGCAATTTAACTGCTGCTTTTGAAAGAATTTCGAAAGAGAATTTCTAAAATATTTCAAAATTTTATTTCTTAGAACTGTGAACAAGTTAAAAAATATATTTTTTTAAATCTAAATTTTGAATTAAAACATTTCAACATCGTACAGGAATTTAAGCAGTGAACCTCTTTTAACAGCAACCTCTAAACAGCCGCAAGTTTTCGGGTTGTTTCTTTTAACAGAAAATGTATACAAAATAAACTCCAAACAACAACAAGCGTTGTTCAGAGGTTTGACTGTATAATATTTTTCAAATGCAATTTTCTAGAATTCAGTCCATTTTACATCGAACTGTGCAAGCAGGTTTGAAGCAGGCTTTGCATTCTTGTGAAAATGACAGGGAGGCCATTTTGGAATCTCTTCAACTCCAATTTTGGATTCTCGAAAGGAATCTAATCTTCAACGTCTTAAAAGTCCGTGAAATTTATAACTATTATTTAAAGTAAGTGAATTTTTAAAATACTTTGCCAAAATAAATAAAATCGTTAGCCAGATATAGCAACATTTTGATTAAGCCAGCTTTTTTGCGATTTCTTTTGAAATCTCTATTCATTTGTAAGTGCAATAAAAAAAAGGAAGGAAAATTTATTTTAATTACTTACCAATAATGTTTAACGTTGCTGAAGATACTGCTCTACCGCTATCGTTCTCGGCTTTGACAGTATACCGCCCAGCATGAAAAGGTAAACATTTCGCTATGGTCAAACTATGGTAATCCCCATCGCTACTTACAGTTTGAAACTTGTCACTTTTGATAAGAATCTCGCCAAAATACCATTGTACCTGTGTATATACGTTTCAAAACTCCATCATCATATCCATGCTGAATAATTTTGCAAACTTCGAAAACTTACCTCTGGTTTAGGTGTTCCTGTAATTTGACATTGAAATTTGGCTTCCCTTTCTTTTTCAACTGTTAAACAATCTAAATATTTTTGAAAACAGGGTGGTATGCCAGGTTTCCTTAGAACTGATAGAGTTGCTATACATTTAGCTTCTCCTGCATTGTTTGTGGCCTTCACCATATATTCTCCTTCATCTCCCTTTTCTACAGTTGAGATTGTCAGTGTTGTCAAACCTGATGGTTCTTTCGTTATCTAGAAAATATAAACGGTGTATTATAAGAGATTTCCTATGCAAACACTATCCGTAATCTAATTTATTCTTTCCAATTCTTCTGTCATGTTATGAGGAACCATTAATTATAATGGCCTTCTATCAATGTTTAGTAATATGGCAGAGGATTGGATGAGAAATCAGCCGGGAGGTACCTTCCTGGAGGACTTTCTATGGGAAAACTGGTCTCTATTTACGTGTTAGACACGTGAAGAAAAACCGGAAAATTTTACGTTGATCAGGCACGAACCTACCACCAGTGCTCAGTGGCTTTATCCACTTGGGCACTGATGCAACATGGGAGAGAGGAACCGCAGTTCATTTTGAGTCCCCGATTTTTGATTTTTTATTGCGTTATTACATAGAGTATAGCGTATGATAACATATGATTACATAGACACTTTACAATGGTTTGATCTGAAACATCTGTTCTGCTCTGCATATCAGAATTTATCTTTTAGAATTTAATTTAAATGGTACTTACCACACAATGTGCAGAAGAATGTAACTGTACTCCATTTCTGTACCATGAGATTTCGGGATCCGGCTGACCTTTGACTTGGCATGCCATTTTGACGCTCTCCTCTTCGTTAGCCATAACATTTCTCAACATTAATGAAAACATGGGAGGACTTCCGATTTCCATGGCGCTATAGTATTTAAAAAAATGGCGTCAAAATTTTAAAATTCAATTTAATTAAATTTAAATAAATGTATAAAAAAATAAGCTTACCCCTTTTCACCATTAACCACATTTTGGAATGCTGAAAAAGTTCAAAAATAATTTTAAAAAATCTGTAAATCTGGAATTTTAATTCAGAATTTATAATTAAATATTTTCTCACGTTTAACTTTCAGTTCACAGATACTAGAAGCTTCTCCAGCAGAATTTATGGCAACACACTTGTAGCATCCTTGATCTTCCAGGTAAGCTTCCTTGATGATCAAAGAACATCGATCACCTTCGAAGAGCAGTTGCACATCTTCAGATTCTTTAACTGGCTTTCCATTATGATACCAGATAACCTGAATCAACATTGTTCAACATTTAAACACATGAAAACCCTACGCTGAAAACTATAATTGAAACTAACCTCTGGTTCTGGTTGTCCAATGATAACGCAATCTAATCTTATCGGGTTTCCTTCGATTACAGTTTGGTTTTGCAGATGAAGTCTCACGTCAGGTTTCAGGAGTTCAAAATCTGAAGCCATTTCAGAATCACTAGAAGAATAATTTGTTTATTTTAATTACAATTATTAATTTACAATGAGCAAGATCATGTTAATTAAGCACTTACGAAGTTTCAAGAGGTAGTCTGCCTTTAACAGATACTAAACAGGAAGATGATGTCTCTCCTGCTTCGTTGGATGCTACGAGACTGTAAGTTCCTGCATCTTTAGGAAATGCTTCAGGAATCACGAGTGTTGCTATTCCATCGCTGTAACTTGTCTAAGAAAAGAAGCGACCATTTAACAGCATCTTCTAGGAGTTTGAAAGTATCAAGAACATCCACTAACCTGGCAGAAATCACTAACTGGTTGCCTATTCTGATACCACGTGATTGTAGGAGTGGGTAAGCCATCAACTTTACATTCCAATCTCAATTTCTGTCCTGCCCTCGCCATTACATTAGATAAAGGAACTATAATCTCTGGTTTCTTAGATGCATCTCGAGCTATGAGAGATTCAATCTTTAATATTAAAATAAACCTCAAGTTTTTATTAATAAAATGAGATATTTACGTAGTACAGTCAACTTGACGCTGCATGCAACCTGTCCTGCAGGATTCACAGCTTTACAAGTATAACGAGCTTCGTCTTCAGGATAAATTTCCTCAAATCTCAAAATGCTGTAGCCATTGTTATAAGTGATGACATATTCTGGAAAATTATCGATACAGACATCATTTTTATACCACGATACAATGGGTAGTGGGTTTCCTTCTACTTGGCACTCCATCTGGCAAGGTTGACCTTGTCTAGCCACCGTCAGGGCGGGTTCTTTGACGAAATGAGGTGGTATTGCTTCTTCGTGAGGGTGACTCTCTGCAACGAATAATAATTAATTAAAACTTTACCGAAAGAAGAATTCGAATATGCTAAGTTGTTGCAACTACCTCTGACTGTAAGTTGCCCTTGAGTTTCTGCTCTTCCTACAGAGTTTGTAGCTCGACAGATATATTTTGCAGAATCTTCAGCAAACGTTTCCTCTATAGTTAAAGTACATAAGCCATTTTCGTGTTTTGTCTGGTAATCCGGATTGTTATGAACTTGAAGACCATCTTTGAGCCATTCGATCTTTAAGGTTGTAAAGGGTATGGCAGAGAATTAAAATTAAAATTTAGCAATGGAAAAAAAAAAATTAAGCAAAATGCTTACGAAAGGAGGTGGGTGACCATCAACGTGGCACAAGAAAGTTACTTTTGATCCCTCGGTAACCTCTACATCCATCAAGGGTACTGTAAAAACTGGTGGTCTAGTTGGATCCGGTACTATATCTACCTGTACTTCTTTAACAGCTTCCTAAGAGATTATAATATAAAATTAATCTTAAATATTGCAAATTAAAATGCCAAAATGTTGATTCTTGCACATACTTTTTCCAACTTTTGCTTCTGTTTTTCTGCTTCGTTCAGATTCTGTTGCAAATTTTTCAAATCTTTATTAATACACACGAATGATGTCAACATATCTTTATTCTTCTGCAAAATCTGATTTGTAATCGGAGGTGCTTGACCTAAACCAAAACGAAACAGAAATTAACCAAAAATAATTCTATTGAAAATCCACTGGATGCCACAACTTACCATACAACTGTATGGAAAGAGTGCTCAACTTCTTCATTCTTTTATCCTGTTCAGCTTCACCAGGTTTAACAAATCTATCAACTTCATTTTGCAGATTTATAGCATCAGTTGGATTTTTACAACTCGCTGATCTTTGCGCAATCGATACCAGAAGTTGGCTTCCTTCTTTAAACCATTCTTCAATCTAAAAAAAATGATTTTTAAACGAATAATCAACATAAAATGGTGCTCGAAACATTCCAAATTTGAATTACCTGTTCGATCAAAACAAAATATTCTAAAACTAGATCGATGTGTTTTCTAGTATCTCCAATTTGCATATGAAACGTCGACCATTTAGTTTGCAACTCGCTGATTTCTTGCATGGGTGGTGCAACCATTCTTTGAGCGGTGCTTACAAAGGTGTTGACTTTTTCGTCTAAGAGCTGATAATCAAATTGTACCGAACAGTATAGAAATCAGTTATATATAATGGTAAAAATGTGTATTATTTTACATACCTCTATAGTTTTTTGCAATTGTATAAAAGCTTGCGAAGTTAACTTTACAGTTGCAAGAGATTCTCCAGTGTTTCCCTTCATGTTTGATAGCTGATCACTTAATTCTTGTATCTGCTGATTTATCTACAATAATTTTATTTATTAAAATGTAAAAAATGTTTATATGCCACTTAAAATTTGAAAAACAAATATATATATTCACTTACTTCACGCAATTGCCAATAAAATTTCTGCTGTTCCAGTCTCTCTTTCCTCAATTTCCAACTGTCTTCTAATTGTTGATGGAGCCAGAGCAGGATACTTTGAATCTTTTCTTTATCCTGTGCAGCCGCGGGTGGTGGTTCCTAGACAGAAAATATTAAAATTTAATAAAATTTATCACGAAAATAATCGAAAATTTAAGCGATTTCAGTCATACAATTTCGTTTATCTTATTTATCAATTGATCCGCTTCTCTTTGAGCAAATTCTAACAGTTGTAAGAACGTTGGTCGAAGGTTATCGTGGTCCACGAGTTGCTGATCGATGGATAAAATATCTGTAGGAACCGGATCTTGACGTTGATTCTTTTCTTCGATCTGAAAATTTTCAAATTTTATTAAAAATTCGAAAAAAAATTTCGAATGCAAACTTTACACAAACTCCAATTACCTGCTTCAAGTTCTGGAAGAAAGTTAGCATCATGGCTGCCAGAAGAAGGCATTCAGTCAATTTTGCTTCCAATTCGTTTTGTGCGTTTTTCATCTGATTTAACAGTTGGTCCTTTTGATTTTGAAATTCTCCTTTCGTAGAAAAGGCTTGCGATTTATTGAGGCAATCTTCGATCTCTCGTCCTAAAGACTACAAGATAAATCATCGATTCATCAATAAAATTATTTTTTATTTTAATTTTCCTTGTAGAAAATGTATTCTAACAACAAAAATAATTCTTTGGAATTTAAATAAATGCCATAGTAACTTTTGAACATACCTTAATTTGGCCATTCATGCTCTCTTGATGTCTCTCCAAGAATACGATAATGGAGTCGATCCTATTCAATTCTTTTGGTATAATTGGATATAACTGAAGTTTAAAGGTCGTTACGACTTCAACAACCTGAAATTTATATAAATTATTTAATAAATAAATAAATAAACTGGCAATGGCACTTGCATAACTTTCTCGGCATTCGAACAGAAAGAACAGGACCAGGAAAGCCTTATCTTTAGGGCTAGGGCGTTTAAAAAAAACTGTAAATGTCAATAAAAAGCTAATAAACTCGTGCCAGTAAAATTTTCATTAAATCTGACTCCCTACTCCTCTTTATCCTCTCCTTTCGACTTATAATCTCCAAAATGTAAAAGCATTAATGCCCCATATATAGAAGTATTCTTACCAAATTTCAAAAATTTTTGACCCAAGGGTTCCCGCGATATGAAGCAAAATACAGGCCCAAACACACATATATATAAATACAGAATTTCGATGTTTTTGGAATTGGGGAACCTTGAAAGGTCGAGCAATGCAAAAAAAAACCTGGAGGGGGATCAAACCCTCTGCCTCTGTTCTATAACAACCGAGGAAGTAGAGATATATATATTTCATATCATACCCTTCTTATTTCTTTGGCGCAATATTCCCATTGCATCAATTGCTGTCTTTCCGATATGACATCCTGTTGCCAACTGTTCCAGAGATTATTGATGTTATTTTTGCGATTATTAAATTGATCCAGTATCGTCTGAACGCATAGAATAGCTCTCTTGATATCCAGATGAGGATCGTTTACCTAAAACCACATGTATGTAAGTGTTTCATGGATGATGATCCGAAAATTAAGCAGCTAGATCTTACCTTATATGCATCTTCGATAAAGTTTTTTCCTTTGTTGTTTAATTCCAGAAATTGTTGTTGTACAGCGAACCATTTCTCTTCGGTCGCTTTCCTGTTCGAGCCATCCCTGTCTGACTGTATGGCATTTTCAATGGACTCCATGTCTGCCCCCAGCTGCAATCAATCAACAGTAAAAGTTTTAAACACTTATCTTAACGGATAATTGGTTTAAAAAAATTACAAACATGACGTAAGCACTGAACTATCCAATCACCGTGAAGTCAACCATATACTAAATGACTGCCCTTTAAATTGTTTTATATCTATATCTTGAATTTCACGTGTTAAACGAGGAAATCAATTAGGCGAATAATGATGATTAATGGCGATTTTTGGTGAAATTTCGTTGGTGAAAGTCATTTTACGAAATAAAAAATTTTATTCTAATTTTGGCCACCAAGGAGGAATAACGTCCTGGTTTGTCTCTGGGAATCAAACTGGTGGTTAGTTCATTACATTAAAAGCATCTTGTACTTTATGGTTATATTTTCCTGAGTAAGGCAGTGGATGCTGGAAAATATACCCATAACGAATGCCGGTCACCAGGAAAAAAACAACAGTTTAGCATAATAAATTGATGTATACCAGTGTTTCTCAACGGGGGCGATATCGCCCCCACGTGGGCGTTTTTCCATGTTGAGGGGGCGATTAGTAACAATTTATATTTTGGGGGGCAAAAAACAATTTTCTGGGCGATATAGTAAAACATTATATTAAGAATAATTAGATATTTTATTCGTTATATCGTACAATAATTAAACAAATAACATTATACTAGTCACTAATCTATTCAATGCAGTACGAATTTGGCGTTAACCTTGGCCCTCGGAATCGGAATTTTAAAGTGAAGGGGGCAATATGACGTAACGGTTTTATTGAAGGGGGCGATACTACGTTGAAGGGGGCGATGATTCGTTAGAGGTTGAGAAACACTGATGTATACAATGAAATATATAACATTCCGGATTTGATATTTTATTTGATTTGGTTTGAGAGGATACGCAATGCAACACATGGGCATTCTGCTAAAGAGGATGCCTCCCGGAAGGACTCTTGTGGACCCTATTTAGGTGTTAGATACATGAAGAAAACTTGGAAAATTCTCGGTTTTCTTCACATATCTAATACCTAAATATTCCATGAGCAATGCACCATTTAATTCTCAAAGGCATCTTTTAGAGAATATTACTGTTATAAGAGATCAAATTAAGTGACCTTCATGTAAGTACCACTTCATCTTGCATTTGTAATACTTACTTATATGAAAGTACCAACCTGAGAAGCAAGTTTGTGAAAGGCAGCATAGCGTTGCACTATCAAAATCCTATTATCAAGCAGGGATAAAAGTAACGTCCACTGACTACGCAAATTATCAGCCTTCTTGTGCACCTCTTCAGCTTCTTTCCCCCCAACTCTAACCAGAGACGGGACTGTTTTGAGTAAGGCATCGACTTCGATATCCTTTAACTGTAATATAATACATAAATAAATATTAAATCGATGAAGAAGGCGAATTTTATTTTAAACGAAACTAAACTTACCCTAATTTCCTTTTGCAAACTTTCATGACTTTCTAGGAAGTTTTTAGCCATAGGATAACTACTGCCCATATCCTGATGGCCTTGCAAGAAGGCCTGAACGGTACTCGTGATCCAAGTATAGAGCTGAAGAATTAAAATAGCAATTCAGTAACTAAATTTACGTGAAATTCCCTCGTTGCTGTTACTTACCGTATCGTATCTGTTATGGAAATTGATGTAAGCCGTGTTACTTTCTGGTGTAACCACCGAAGAACACAGTTTCAACAAGTGTTGCCTGCGGTCTTCCAACTCTGCAATCTAATGAACTCAATTGATTTTAGTTTAAATTGTCTTATATCCGAGAACAGAAGGAAAAAACAAAACATCACAAACCTTCCTCTGAACGCCTTCCGTCCCAAGATTTTCCGCCATTTCTATCAGATTTTGACCTTCTGCGACTGCTTCTGTTACCAGTTCATTAATAGTTCGTTTTATCTGATTAGTAGCATTAGGCAATAGCTCTGTAGTAGACAGTTGTACATCCAATTGATCAAGCTTCGTTACAACCTGCAAGAAAGAGAGATTCGAACTTGCAACCTCTTAGACATTCGAAGGAATTCTTGAGAAAATAAAAGAAGAAAAGGCTCACCGTTTGACATAAATTAAAAAAGGCAATGGCGAGAGAAAGTAACTGTCGTCTAGTATGCACTGCAGATATTAAATCAGAGCAATCTGAAAGTAACTGATACGCTCGACATCTCGATGTTTCCGTCATGGCAACACCCGATAACGTCAATTGCTCGACTGTTTTTAATAACCGGATGCTTCTATCTTGCACTTCCTGTAGATACATTTAAAATTTGCATAATTAACACTCAATAAATATTAAAATCAAAGCTTGTTAACGAGATGTTTGCAAACATACGACAATAGTGATGCATTTCAATACTGTTTTAAAGTTAAACCACAGATCAACTGTGTATAAGATGCAAATTTATTTATATAAAAATATTATGTCTTTACAAACACACAACAATGGAAATTCGTGTTAGCACCATGAATAGCATTAATAATCCCAGAAATTTAAGAGCATTTCGTGTGAAACGGGTTAAGAAAATTTCGTCAACTCTACCACCTGGCGATCTCCAATACAGAGGGGTGATTTTGTAATTTTTCACTCACTAGATATTATCCAAATATCCGCCATTTTGAATAATTTTCAACTGAAATTTAACGTGGATAATAAAATCCTAAACACGAAGCAAAGTGGGCGCTGTTGCAAGTGATTACTATTACGCTTTCACACGGGAGCGTCCATGAGTTCTACTGCACAGTTTAAAACTTCTAACAGCTCGAACATGTGCAATAGACCTCATACAATACGCTTCTTATTCTTAAGAAAAATTAATATAAATCATAATTTTCTAAAGTGTCACTCGTGTTTGATGGAGATCTTTTAAAATATTCATCTTTTATCATTAAATTCAAATGATTAATACTTTACAATACAATAAATCCGTATTATAATTATTAAAGCTGTTTCATCCGCTATTTTTTTTCCATTTGATAATAATTAATAACCGGTTTAAACTGGTTAACGACGTTATTTTAATTGCTAAAATACAAAAATACCTCTGAATTTATGGTTTATTTACTGTAACTCTGACGATTCTCCGTGTTTACTCATTAGTTTTGATGATACTCCTCCCACTAGTCTTTATCTTTCTCCGAAAAATTATCACAGAATGAGAAAGGTCAGAAGGTGAAGCAAATCATCAAAAATTAAAGATGTAAACAGATGAAAAATCATCAGAATTAAGAAAGCAAACAGAAAACAAAATCGTCAAAATTACAAAAATTTAACGTTATTTTCTTCTCTAACCAGTTTGAACCAGTTATTAAATATTGAAGATGTCGAAGAAGGTTAAAGCTATTTCGTTAACTGTTTTCCCCATTCGATAATAATTAAAAAAATAACCGGTTTAAACTGGTTAACGACATTATTTTCATAGCTAAAATTCAGAAATCTCTTTCAATACATAGTTTATTTACTTTAACTCTGATGATTCTCTTGTTTACTCTGATGATACTCGTCTTGATCTTCCTCCTCCTGATGATTTCTGGAGGAAGAGAATCAATTACTTGTTACACAATAAAAGTTTAAAGTAAATTCACAAATTTTTTTTTCTGTAATTTTCTACCATTTCTCGGAAGCATCAAACTGGTTTCAGTTGAAATTAACACAGGAACCATTAAGTAAACGTGAGTTTTTGCAGTGTTTATTATTATTATTTTTTTTCGGGACTTTTCTACAATTCTAGAATGTTTTTTTTTTGTAAATATTATTCGAAAATAGACTAGAAGATAACATATTTACTTACACGGATGCCTTTTTTAAAGTAATATTTGAAGAAAATGACCTTGAATATACTTTAACGAGAAGCTAATTGTTACTGTATACGTCATTACATCACGCAATATCCATATTAAAAATATGTTTATGTAGAAAAGTATGGACTGCGAGAATTACAATTTTTTTGTCATTTTACGAAGTGGAAATGCATACATCAACGTTAAGTTACTTCATAACACATTTTTACAATGCCAGATCGATTTTTAAATAGAATTAGAATTTAATCTTCCCTGTAAAATTTGTGGAGAAAGTATGGTATGCTTTAGATTTTCTAGTTTTTAGTTTATGTTCAGAATCCTAAACTTTTGCTGATTTTTTTGAGTTTTTTTTACTGCTTCTCCTCAGTTTTTATTTACTGATTTTTCTGTTTCGCTGTTTATTTTCCTAAATTTTTATGATTTTACTAGGCTTTTTTGTTGCATATTTTTCCGAATTTTTTACTGATTTTTTGAGCTCTTTGCTGCTTATTTTCCTGATTTTTTGGGCTTTTCTGATGCTCATTTTCCTGATTTTTGGGCTTTTCTAATGCTTATTTCCTGAATTTCTTACTGATTTTTTAAGCTTTTGCTAATTCTTTTCCTGAATTTTTACTGTTTTTTTCTGATTCTTTTTCTAAATAATTTTCTGATTTTACTGAGCTTTTTTTTTGTTGCATATTTTTCTAAATTCTTTACTGATTTTTGAGATTTTTGCTGCTTATTTTCCTGATTTTCTTACTGATTTTTTCAACTGTTTTGCTGCTTTTTTTTTCTAAATTTTTACTGATTTTTTAGGGATTTTTTCCTGGTTATTTTCCTAAATATTTTTCTGATTTTACCGTGCTTTTCTATTGCTTATTTTACTGGTTTTTGCTGCGTTTTTTTTATCGATTTTTTCCAAGTTTTACTGATTTTGTTTTGCCAAATTTCTTCTGAGCCTTTCCATAGTTTCTGACGCGCTCTTATTGATTACTGAGCCATCACAAGAAAGTTCGATACGTTAAAAAATTCAACCAGAACAATAAACAGATAATTTTAATGAATGTAATTACGTATTAATGATTTTGTAACTTAATAACGAACATAAACATGATTTTCAAATACAGCATTTCGTATCGGTCGTATAAACTCTTGCAAAATATTAATTAGTTCTGTTTTTTAAGCTCCTAACTAGCATCTTTTTTGTTATAAGCCATGCTAAGATTGCTATATATATATAAAGCCTATTAATCTAGCATTGCTAAGCAACCTAAAGCATGCGAAATTAAATAACTTTTTTTAAAAAATTAGGAATTATAGCGTAGTTTCTGTATACAGGTTGAAAACAATAAAAGATAGAATGTTCATATCTCTCTGTAGAAAAAACTATTGAGCAAATCTCAGAAAAAAATTTGGTATAAATAATGTCCTGGGTATGCGGTTTCTATTTTCGGAAAAAAATTTTTTTACTTCAAAATTCAGCCGCTAGGGAAAAATTTGGCGTTGCTGTTCCCTTCACGCGCATATTACGTACGTTTTTCTAACAATTTCGAAGTTATGAAACAAATTGCAATGAGTTTATTTCAATTACAGTTTTGAAACGTAAAATTGAAGATTGATTCAAAAACATGGCGTTTTGTGATCGTAAGAGAATGTACAGTACATATATGCGCATTGGGAAACAGCAGCGCCGAATTTCGTCCTAGCGGTTAAATTTTGAAGTTAACTTCCCCCGGAAATCGAAAACTGGAAATTTATGTATACCAAATCTGGTAGTATCTGCTCAATAGTTCTTTCTCCAGAGAGATCTGAACGCTATTCTTTAATTACATTCAAACTGTAGCCCATGTGACAACTCTGAAAAGAATAAAATCATAATTTAAAAAGGTGTTCAAAATATTGTAATTTTACGAAATTTCTGATAATCTTCTAAATTTTTTTTCAGCACTTTTGATTTAAATCTATTTACGTCGCTTCGCGTCAGAGTCGAAAACTTTTAAAATTAAGTAAAACTTAAACTATTACAATTAATTACGTTCTTTTTATGAATTTTGTTACATTAAAACACATTACTACTACTTAAATGGAAATTTAAAGGAATGCTATAATTAATTTTCCTTCACTTAGAGTCTTAGAATAACAATTCACATTTAATTTGATGACCACAATAATTCCTCTCAATACTACAAAACCTCAAAAAGTATAAAAGAAACGACAAAACTAACCTTTAATTCCGTTACTACTTATACAGTATATTAAATTCTGCAGGAATGTATACGAAAATACGCAGCTTTCACCATATTGTATTCTGCAGGAACATAAGGTACTGTACTTTACTATATATTACTGCAGAATACAAAACACATCCTATTCATGCATAAAACAATTGAAAAAAACGTACTGAAATACAAAACTGATAAACATAAATCTAAAAAAGAAAAAAATATATTCTGAATACAGTAGAGCCTCGAAAACTCGACCTAATGTGGACCGAAGGGTGGCCATGTTTGTGAAAATGCCGGGTTATCGGGAATGGGGTTAAAAAAGGATAAGTATGCGTGTTTCCCCAGAAAATATTGTACTGTACTTGTATGTATTGTTTGCTTGAGAATACAAGAGAAGAAACTGCCCAAATACCCTTAAACAAAGGAAAAGGTACGTCCTTTATGAAGGCATAGAGCCTTTACTACATGAAAATAAAAATTAATGAATACACTGCGTACAGTAATTTACTTGATAAGACAGACCTCAGAAAAATACTTTATGAGGCATAAAGCTGTCTATAATGAAAATTAATTAACTAAGGATTTTTTTGCCCTGCCAGGGTGTGGCCGAGTTATCCGGAGTGCCGGGTTATCGAGTGCCGAGTTTTCGAGGCACTACTGTATGAACATTGATATTCAGCAGCTCACGTGACTTAAATGATACAATATGGCGACTGACCGTTAAACGATGGAATATTTAAAATTAATAAATAAAAATTGAATATCTTTTATCTAAAAATCACGTAAAACTTTTCGTGAATTATTTCTCTTCCGTATAAAATGGTATTTTTCTAAACATTTTTTGAAAATATTTATTAGTATATAATGTAGGGTGGTCCAATAGTTAGTTAACCATTGCATCTACTGAGTTTGGAATCGCTTCGGGGCGTTGTAGTTTATATACTGAACAGAAATGATCGCATCTTTTGCTGATTTTATAGGCAATTTAAATAAAGATAAAGTAGTCTTTGTAATGGTTAACTGACTTTTGGGCCATTCTGTATTTAAAAATACTGTAATAAAAAAAATGATTATTTAGTAAATTTAACGAGAAAAATCTTACTTTAGTCTCAATTTCCACTTTTCCATGTTCGTGTAGAAGAATTTCCGCATTAGCAGAAGAATCTCCTAAATTGTATTGCCTCATATATTCAGCTCCTTTCGTTTGAAGCCAATTCTCCACCTTATATTATTTAAAAAAAAATTAAATAAAAATAAATTATTATTAATAATTTTTATTAAAACAACTGTATATTAATGTAAAAAAAACACAGAAAAATTTAAAGAAATCCATGCGCCAGTAAAAAAAAAATAATCCGTTATGAAATCGTCAACGGCGCCATTGACAGTTTTACTACTCTGAAGACCCAGATTCGAGTTCCCCGGATATATCGATCTCTGGCTAATTTACCGAAGGCCCGAAAAGCCCATATCGGGCACGAGAAAAGGGACCTCCTTTTTTTAGGTAATGCCTTCAGGGCAGTGAGTTAAATTTCAAAGAAAAAAGGAACGAAGGAGAACGCAACGAACGTTTCTCTCGATTTAACGAGCAAGAAAAATCATTATAAACGGGGTTAAAGTTGGATGCCAAATTTGCTATTTAAGTATTGATGATAAAACCGGAAGATACTTAAAACAAACTCTGACCTCAATTTCAAGTGAAAAGAAACGAAAATATTTCGGGGGATGACTAATTATCTTTCGTTAATTCCAATAAACCAATAACCTAATTAATTTCTATTGATTTTTATTGATTTGGTGACGCAATTTACCTGATCTAGATCACTTGAAACCAAAAGTATCTGAAGAGTATGCTCCAATTTTGTTTTCCTACTTTGCCACACGCCCTCCAGATAGCGCCACCTGTCGTGAAGATTCTCCATCATCCTCTCGACCGTGGATGATGATTTTTGAGCCTCCATCTTCATGTGTTCCGGTCTCGAATCGTTCAGGCTGTTATGGGCTATCTCGTCTAACTGATGAACTAGGATCTGTCCCGCATTCAATGTGTGAAGAGATATCTCGAGTATGCCTATAAATGGATTTAAATTACGATTAATACGGCGTTTTTTGAAGGGGTTTATCATCATTATAATTAATCCAATTAGCTTTCAATTTTAATAAATAAAGTAAAAATTTTCTACTGTAATTTTAATGCGGTGGAAAAATCAAGACCCGAAAAACTCACGCGTAGAGGATAAAATATGCTAATTCAAGCTTAAGATTGGTTTAAAAAGAGGTATATTTATGCTTAAATTAGATCGAAATACATTAAATATGCAACGAAATTGTGAATTTTAAGGGTTAGAATCATACTAAACTGAATATAGAAGCTGTAAAGCATCGACGTAGAGGTTAAACGATTTTGGTCAGTAATTATTCGATTATGAAGAAATCTTGATAATTCTAAGTAAATTAGCGGCGTAGATGTTACATTTTATAAATCATAAAAGTTTTATGCCATAAATTAAATATCAACGAAGTTTTTTGACCTAACATAAATTCCTCCAGTTGGACTTGAGCCATAATCAAAGTGAAATATAATCTATTTCACAATATATATTTGTTTTAACTCAATGAAGACTTTTCTGTGTTTAATTGTGTTAAAAATTACAGTAAAATCTGTCTAAAAGGGAAGGCCATTCCGTTCTACACAGGTTTTACTGTAAATTTATTAATTGTACCCCCATTTTTTTTTGTCTAAAAATATCGATGCAAAGTCATTTCATGGAGGGATTTCAGGAGGAATCATTAAAAACAAGTTTATATATATATATATATTTTTTAATCTGCTTATGTACGGTGAATTTTCAATCGAATTGCGATATTATTATTATCATATAATAAACTTTCACAACACACCTTTCTTGTCATCGTGCAACCTTTGCAATAACATTTTGCAACTGTCAATATCGTTCGGAGAATAAGTATCGGTAAATATAACGTGAGCTTTGTCCATTCTTTCTGTAAACTGGAAAAAAATCGAGGCAAAAAAAAAATAAGAAAAGGAGGGGAGGAAAAAAAAAAAAACTTAAAAAACATTCGATCCGTGTTTACAAAGATCTCGACTTACATCCCGTACTCTGCTGTGAAACGTCACCGCTTGTTCGAGAATTTGTCTCCTCTGCTCTAATTGGTTGTTTAAGTCCTTCCATGCAAGTCCCAAGTTCTCGGCCATGGCTGCGTATACCTCTGCTCTCGGCTGCTGTGTAGAGATCAGCTCGTCTGCTTGACGTAGCAACTCCTCTACAGGACTCTGTTTCGACTAGTTACATTGAGGAAAAAAAAAAAAGAAAAAAAACTCAGAATTAACATAACTCAAGTATACTTTACCTCACAGTTTGCTTCATTATCTAATCCTCTAACAGGTAGATGATACTTAGTTTGTCTCATTAGTCTATGTCCAATTTACTACCCTCGTTTACTTTTGCCTACCTTAAACATGGCGTCATTTCCTTAGTGCTTTATTCTGTTTTCTACTGTAAAATCTAGTTTGTTTCGTCTTTTCTCCTAAGATATTTGGCTCTAAAATAATAGTAAATTTTAACTGTATATTCATTTTAATTGCCTCGCAGAAAATTTTATCGTTTATTCGCTCCAAAACAATTTCCTCACAGTAAATTTTACTGTTTATTACAGTTTATTTGCTTCATAGTAAAGTCTACTGTTTATTCGCCTCAAAACAATTTGTCTCATAGTATTTTCCACTGTTTATTCTAGTTTATCCTAATAGTCTTGGTGCTACAATTATTTGAAATCTACTCATACCCATGCCGTCTGCTCCTTCATTAACTTCGTTTTATACTTAGATACACACAACTTCTGAGCTATATTTAGCAATAATTTTAACTAAAACTTCTCCCATATTTAATTTCTTTCAAGGTTCTAAGATTATTGTTAGCATTACAGTCGATTAGTTTGCCTCAGAATTTATATTTCATATTAGTTATAGTCATTAGTTTTTTAATGCCTGTCCGTTATGGTGTTGGATTTCTAAATAATTAATTCCTTCTAAAGTTGGACTCCACTGACGAAAATTGATTAGCGACTGCACAATCTCTGAATTAACTGAATTCTCTTTTAATTTGGTTCCCTATTTTAAGTAACTAAATCCTAGTTTAATTGTATTTTAAAACGTTAATTTACTTCGAAAGGGGGAAGGCGGATAAATTTAGCATCAAAATTCATTTTTTTATCCAAAGATAATGAAGGAGCAGGCAGAATAATTGAAGAAAAGTTCCCGAGGATAAGCTGAATTTAGTCCTGGATTCTGCAAGATGATTTTAATTAATTAATTATGAAGTTAAAAAGGAAAAAAACAAGAGATTTTTGCCTGTTCCATAAGTTTTTTCTTACGAAGTTTACAACGGAATAAAACAAGAAGATCGGTTATAAAAATTGATGTAATTAAAGAAGTTTTTTAAAGTTGTTTAAATTCTTTTTTTGGCACTTAGGAATAAACAAAATTATGTTAAAAAAACAGCGTGATATTTATAACTACTGTTAAAAAATCCAAGCTTCAAGGAGACCTTTTTTTGCTTCATGAAAAGTCTCCTTGTAGTTTGATTTTCGTCACGATCGCTAAGAGTTTTCTTAAACATCATTTATTTGCTGTTTAACTGTTCCATTTTAATGGCATTTAACCGTGATGTAAACAAAATAATTCAAATAATATGGGTTTTAGAGCTTCTGTTTATCACTTTAGAACCATAAATGATCCCTTAAGCCATTTTAAGAAGTGATTTATGCAAAAGCCATGGCAGCATTCGTACTGATGATACCACATGAATTAATTTAGCGCTTCATGCTGAAGACATCATTGAAATTGGCTTTACAGTTCTACAATACAATAATCCTCATTTTAACCATTATTTATAACTAAATTGAATTATAAACACTGAAACTGGTCCATAAAGAGCATGGAATAAACTATTATAAGTCAATGGACACCAGCAACCATTTATTCAGGAACGTTTCTTTTTGAAATGAATACAAATAACCTCCAAACAACAGTAAAAGTGGACGTTGTTTGGGAGGTTATTTTACAGTAAAACCTCTGAACAACGGCCACCGACGAGAACATGAAAAATGGCCGTTGTTTGAAGGTTTCTTTACATGCAATTCGTTCAAAACATGCTCCTGAAAAAAATGGCTGCTGTTGGGTGGTCGTCGCTGAGAGGTTCGTAATATACAGTAGACCCCCCATAACACTGTTGATAATTCCGTGTTATATGAATTCCATGTTGTACAAGTCACTTAGATTTTAAAAATACGTGTGCCGGGCTGTGAACGGCTCACGTATTTGTAAAATCTAAGTGACTCGTACAACATGGAATTCATATAACATGGAATTATCAACAGTGTTATAGGGGGTCTACTGTATAGTCTATACATTATTAGAATTTAAAGGGAAAATGGTGGAAACAATATAGAATACATAATCCCATTGATAGACCATGAGTTAAGAACGTCCACTTTATATAAATTTAGGATCCTCATCAGTTTTAATAGCTCTAAGTATTTGTATACAGGAAAATAAACATTGAGATCGAGTTCGTTCGTGTCTAAACAGTGGGCGTCTATCAGTAGGCAGTTTCTATTTTAAGCCCTCGTTAAACGCATCTTTAAATAATATATTTTGGGCTATTTTAATTATTTTCATACGCAAAGAGTGCAAATTACAATTGCCAACTTTTGTTTAAAAAAAAAATGGCGGCTAGATTCACGATTTGACGTTGATGGACGTGTCACGTGAGCATGGTTTACGTGAGTATTACGCCATCTTATTTCTTGAATTATTTACAAAATTTTTATTATTTTTTTTCTGTTTATTCTAAATTTAATCGTTCTTATATATATATATATATAATTCATTTCAAATTTTTGAAAATTATAATTTATATATTTTATATATATTTGTCGTGAATTTTAAGTGACATAATTAGGTTCATTTGGAGTAATATTCTTCACGAATATAATACGGCGAGATGAATTAAGCACGGATTCATTCATCCAATAATAAAATTCGACACATTTTTACTAAATTTAAGATTTGCAAATGAATATTTTAACAAAAAGAAAGCAAAAAATAATTGATTTATTATTATATTTTTGCATAGACGGAAGGTTAAATCTTTCGTCAACACTTGAAACAATATTGAACCATCCACCATACTTTCACTCGGCACGTCAAAGCTTTCTTAACAATATATTTTATTTGTATATTTTGGGAAAGTGGGCCATCGATAGTCCCGAAACATGCTTTCGGCACGTAGAAACCGGGACATTTGGCAATCCTATTCGTGATATTAACACGATATGCTTTATTAACCTACACGTAAATAGGTTAGGATGCGTAAGATGCCTCGTGGTTTAGTTTCTGTTATTGTGCCTCATAGTCTACCTCACAGGATATTTAGTTGCCTCATTGCCCATCCTACACGTTTAGTTTCCCCGTAGTCCATCCCACATATTGTCTAGTTGCTATCCGAACTAGACAATCTGTAATCCGTCGAAGATCGAAGCAAATTAATCAATCTGTAAGACCCTCATAGCCTGTTTAAAAAATAAACGAAATATACAATGAAGTAAGTTAGTTTACCTTACTGACTGTTTAATTAGCTTCGTAGTTTATAAACTGTTCAGTCTGCTCTCGTAAACCAATCAAGACTATAAAGCAATTACAGCTTCATAATCTATAGACTACCTTACTAATTGTTCAGTCTCATAGTCTACCTTCGTAAATTGTTTGCTTTATAATTTGTATTAATTATTGTTTAATTAGTCTCGTAATCATCTTCATACGTTAGTTTTCTTCGCAAATTTAACCTTGCTGACTTTAATTCGTCTCATTGTATTGCCTTCCCGAGTTAATTTTTCCCATAGTCAAGTCCTAACTCATAAAGGCAGACGTGAGGCAAATTAACTCAGGAGGACTGACTACAGGATAAATTAACTCAATTTGTCTCATAGTCTGCCTTCGTAAATTGCTTAGTTTTCCCCGCAACACCTCGTAATCATTTTATTTTGCCTCATTCTTTATCCTTCGACTTAACTTTACCTCGTAAACTATCGAGCTTTACTTAACAGATTTACTCATTTCGTTTGCCTCGCAACCCTCTTCATACTTGAAATACCTAACATATTGCTATTACATCCCATTACACAGCCTCGGAGAGAACAATTTCACAATAAATTCCCTCACAAATTGCCTCGCACAGCTACAAAAATTCACTTGGAAGTTTTGTAACTGCAGCAGCAGCAGATGCATTGGGCGAGCGTCCTTCGCTCGATAAAAACAAAAATCCTTAAATTGATAATTACAAATCGCAATGACAGACTGGCGAGTGGGTGCCACAATCAAAAATTCTAGTGACGAACTCACATCTGGTGGGTGAATTACACGTGCTTTATAAAACGCTTGGACCGCCGCCAAAACCTTACAATCAAATCCACCTACGGACTCTCTAAGCATCAAGAATATGCTGACTTCACAATATATATAGTGTCCTCGCCTTTATTATTGTAGTAGTATTTCGTCGATGGCCCTTCCCTATATCTAGAAACGGCCATCTGTACTTTACAACGGGGATGGATAAATTTGGAAAGTGCGGAAGTATCCAATAATAGACTTAGAATAGTCATTTATCCAGTTCTTCTAGGGGAACAAAACGAAAGAAATATACGAGCTCAATGAAGTGTTTTTCTGTGTTATCCTATGGGATTTCGGGAATTGTGAACTGTATATGGATTTATTTTTATTATTACTTTTCCTCCCTCCCGTAACAGGAAGGGGTTAAATCGTACGCCCGTTTGTCAGCACTAAATATAGCTTAATGTAAATATAGAAAATTTTGATGGCGACATCAGCTTTCGCCTCACTGACATTGCACAGCCGTAACAACACACCTCCTCACCTGCAATTTCTCCAATACTTGCTCGTGTTGCTGATGCAACATCACAGCATCTTCCAGGCAACTTCCTATATCCGTTATGGCCGGTTGCATCTCTTGAACTTTCAATTGCATCCATTCTTTACTCTATCGGGAGTCAAAAAAAAAGAGAGGGGGAATTAAAATTAATAACCGGATAGTATTATCTACAAGTTACGCGCGATATATCGCCGCGTCACGTGACCTTTCGCGCATCAATCAACATATTAAGAGGCCAGATGCTGCTCCGTCAATGCCCTTGCCGTCTGTTGTATAAATAGTGACTTGGCATAGAATATGGAACTAAATCGCGTGTTACACCTACATGACTGTCTCGTTGCTCGATACTACTACAGTTTAAAAAAAAAAAAAAAAATTATCTACGTCGAACGATGCGTTAACTTCCGCGTTAAACTCGCGTAACGCGTGACAGCATATTTGACAGATTATCCACGTTGTTTCTTAACCACCGCCGCCATCTTCCTCCTATTGTTACTAAAACGGTAAATGACAGCAATATCATCATCATCATTAATTGCATTCCGGCGCGTGCTCCTCCTATAATGTTTATTTTACCCAGTTTTTTTTTTTAAATAAGAGCTACGTAACTCGATCCGACGTAACAAGCGCCGATCGGTCTGCTTAACCCACTGCACTATTGCATCACCTTACAGTTAGGGTCAGTAGGAACAATCGAGGTTAATCAGTGGCAGAATAAGGGTAGAGATATCGAACAGATCGACAAACGTATGCCCTATTATGGACTCATTAAGAATGTTACGCTCTTATGTCCCGATTACGTTGAGAGATTTTTAAACTCGTTTCTCACCTCCTCTTATGCGGCTGCATCAATATGCGAAATTTGTTTGAGGGTGTAGCGTTTCTATTATGTTACCCTTACGAAATGTTTCGTAACGTAACATTTCTCCATCTTAGAAAAATAAAACCGGAACGTAACGGACAGCATAAATAACGCGCTGACATTTTGGCCCTTGACCAAGGGCTGACATTAATACGTGAAGTATTTTTTTTTTTCCTCTCTCTTTTGCTGGCGTAGGGTGCATCCCTAATTGGTACTGCACTAGTAAACACAGCGGAAAAAAGACCTGTTTATAGTAATAATAAGTGTGTAAGGTCACGTTACAAACCGGCATTATGCTAATTTATCCCTTATGCGATTCATAATTCACTTTATTGTGATGATGCCATTACGGCAACGTACGTCACGGAGTTTAATAAGCGTGCCATTGTAGACTGGAGAGTTGTCAACACGAAGGACAATCTCCACATCCGTTACTCCTACAAAGAGGGGTGGAAGCAATTCCCACGCGCCAGAAAAAAAGAGAAAAAAATATGTATATGGCGAATGTGTAAACTAGATCGGGCCATCCTCCGAGAAACCCCTAAAAGGACGGGATGCGTGTAACAACGCTGACAAAAGGGGTGCTGTTTTGGTGATAAACCATAATGAACCGCGATCACGTGTAGAGTATAGCAAAAGAGGTTACCCCGTTCGCGTACGCTTTTCCTTTTTGTATTTTCCCCCCTCCTGGCGAAAGGTCAAAGTTCAATTCGGGATGGCTTTTTGGTGGGTGGATGGAGGTTCCATTGATGGAGCGCGGGTGGTAGAGGTGAGAGGTGAGGTGCTAAGGACTTACTTGTAGGAGGGCAATGACGATGCGCGTCTCTCCCGACTGAACGGCGATGGTGCTGATAGTCGTAGTGGTGTTGGCACGCTGGACGCTACTGTCCGTGGCAGAGGTGTCGTCCTCCATCTTTTGGGGGGAAAAGAAGATGCGACGTGACGTTGGTGCGGCCGCAGCACCCGGCCGTCTGCTAGGTGCGCGGAAGTTACACTTCCCCAAATAGAATTGCAGGGGGAAGAATGGGGTCAGCCCGATGACGTAAGGAAGCGACACCTCGCGGCAAACTTTTGGAGAATGGTGAGGGCGCCTCACGTGACTCCGGCGGTCACGTGAGTGGCCGCCGGTCACTTGGCGTATCTTTTACTTAAACGATTAAATTCGTTAACTTTCTTACGGCGTGTTAAAAATATAAAAATCGAATATTTACCAAAATTAAATTTTCAGCGGCACAGACTTTGCGTAAGAAACGCGCTTAAATTTTTTTTTTTTAATTCGTTCGACTACGCCAACGTCGCCATCTGTCGTTACACGAAAAAAGTAGAAATCTTTTTTTTCAGAATTAAATTAAACACAGCTGTTTACTTGAATAACAAAAAGAATTAAATGACTGTGTTTTATATATATGTATACAGTTAACTAACAATAGGACTGCAGCGAAAATTTTCAAATAAGCTATGCAATTTAGTTTACGCTGGCGTCTCGTTTTATACCTAAAATATCTGGAAAATTTCATTCCTTTAGGATAATATATAATTATATATGTCGGTGTATAAAACATTTTTAGGGAAAAAGTAATCTTTCTAATTAGTTCTAAACCTTATCCATTGGAGAGTAAGTTATTTCGTCATTAGGGAAAACTTGGGTAAATTTATGAAATTAGGGAATTTTCATAAATTAAGATTTAAAAATTCAAACTTTAGAAGAAAAATGTCCCAATTTTTCATTAACTTATCCAAATATTAGGGGTATTAAGGGGAAAATCTAACATCGTATATTTAGGGAATTGTTAAGCAAAAAGTAGAAAATTAATAGAAATTTTAAAAATTTTCATTAATTTTAAAGATTCTATACTTGTTTGTTGCTTTCAAATATATTTCTGTAAACAAGACACGATTCTTACTCAATATTCCGAAAAAATTAACCAAATCCGTATTATTCTAATTAATTCAATTGTAATTATTTAAATCCTTTTAAGATTTTACTAAACTCCTAGTATAGCATTAAATACTTATCTTTGTATATCCCAGTCGTGCGTATACTTTAGTCCAATTGATGGTTCTAGTTGTAGAAATTCGGGCTACATAAATTCATAAGACAAACAGTAAATGAAATTTTCGTTTTCGGATTTTATCTTGAAACATCTGTTATTTAATCAAATAATCAGGGAAATTTCCCTAAATGCCACCGATTATTCCCTAGTATTTGTGCAATAAGACACAAACATCTGGTAATAATCAGTACACAAGATCGGTTCGAATCTTAATACTAATTCGAATTTTTTTAAAATGATGGAAAGCTTCAAAAGTATACAATTAAACTGTACAGTTTATGTACAACCTGTTACAAAAATAATCCAAATTCTTGTACATAAAACTTTTTAATCTCTTAAAGAGAAAATATTTTGAATTTACAAGATTTTCGTCCCTATATTTTTGGGGAAACTACATCACGAAATCTCAATTTCCCTATGTTTCGGGAAAATTGAGATAGCGTGAAGTAATTTCCCAAAAAAATACACATACTCAGGGATTTTGCAAATTCGTAAAATTCCCTTTTAAAATATTAAAAAAAAACTATTTTACGGAAATTGAGGTTAAAATTTTAACTTGAAGAGAAAATTATATTTTGGGGAACTTCCTGAATTTACAAAATCCCCATCGTAGGGTAATTGAGAGATTATAGGGATATTGAGTGATATTAATTTTTTTCCCCATTCACCTCGAAAGTTTGAGAAATTAATCGTTTTAGGAATCAAAATGAATTTCATATTAAAAATATAAGAATTTTTTAAAATTTGATTTTGTGAACTGGAAGCAAAATTTCTAATTTAGAAAAATGTGCTGCTGTGTTCATAAATTGCAAGACTATCACCAACATTCAACACAACAATCATAAATTTACTTTCCAACAACTTCTAGAGATGAGATACCAGCTACAGATATTCTTTTTTTCATTATCCGGAATATTTGAATTTGCTATATTTATAATATTTTTATATATATTTTTAGNATTAATATATATTTCATATATATTTATATAAGCTATACATTTTGAATTCAAACTTAACTAATTATTGAATCCATTAACAACAGTCAAAAAACTAAATTTTGAAAGTTAGATTCAATGGGCGATTGTTTTTCAACACAGTCGGAATTCTTGTCAGGGTCCTCCTCAAGTTTGATATCAAAAATCAAGAGTTAATGTGTGCAAAGTACAAACGAACTGCGGTAAGTAGATTCAACATTAATGATGAAGATACAATCCTAAAACACTCAGTCGAAAAAACATCGTGTGCTACAAAAACCATTAGAAAAAAAAAAGCAATTAAAATGTTTTGTATATGAAGAACCAGTCATTAACTATGAAGAAAGACAAATGTCTCATTTGGAATAAAGAAAAAAAAAATTAAAGTAAAATGTTAAACAACTGTCTGTTGATGAAAAGAAGTTTGATTAATTGAACTGTTTTCCAAATCCTTAACTTCCATAGAGTTCACATAATACTTTTCGTCTAATTCCTTTTCTAATCCATGTCCGTTTGCCGTGGCATACATGTTTTTTATTCCGTCCATAGGATAGTTGTTAATCGGAGATACGCACGACATGGCCTCGCCCAAACTTTCGGGTTCATAATTTGCAGATAGGCGCAGGTCATCCTTGCATTCTCCCTGTATGGCCACGTTCAGGCTCTCCATTTTTTCCACACAGCTGTGCACTTCGTCTACAAGATCCGAACATTCCACCCTGAGTTTGATGTCAGTACCTTTACTTTTTGACTGAGATTTTGCATTTGCTACAGAATTGTCAATTTCTTTAACTTTAGAATTTGGATCTAAGCTAGTCGATTCTTTATCCTTCTTTGATTTCTTTTCTTTATCTTTCAAAGATTTTGATGGATTTCCATTTACACGCCGCCGAGATTTCCCTGCTGCACTAGACTTAGATTGTAGGGAAGAATCCATTTCTTCAGTGATGGCTCCAAGTTGAGAGCTATCTTTCGTACTCCCTTCTTTCTGAATTGGAATGTCATCTACATTTGAAGAAATATTGTATTACAGAAAGATTTTTAAAACATCAATTTACAAATATAAATTAATGATTTTATTATTGATTCACACACAATTTCTTTAAAATCATGCAGTTAATTTCATGCAACATAAATCTAAGAATTGACAAAAATTAATAAGATTAAATTTCATGCAAGCAAAATTTGATTTTAAATATTTTTACAAGTAGATTAGTAGTTAGAAAACAAATTGTGCAGAGATTGAAGATGCCATGCAGAAATTAGAGGTTAGTGTCAAGATCAATATGCTGGCAGCTAAAGCAATTATATCTCCCAATATCCAGTCACATGCACTGTCTCATTGACACCAGCAGAAATCATTTTAGAAACAGCATCATAAACTGGTTGCCCAACTAACAGAAAGGAAAAATAAAAATAAAAAAGCAATAAACTTGTTAATTTAAATGAAATAGCAAAATGAAAAAAAATCATGCAAATGCAATTTCATAAAAAAAAATTTATGCTATGATTTTTACCTGGAAGTTTTTTAGTTCGGAAAGAGGCATTTGTGATAATAGTCTTAGAAACAGACGTAGTGGCCGTAGTAGGAGATAGCGCCACACTTATACCCATTGGTCCATCATTTGGCTGTCCAGATGGATTAACTTTCAAAGAATTTCTAATGCCATTTGTTACCTATAAAATTATAAAGAAGATTATTTTATTTACTGCTATAAAGGAAATTTGTATAAAGCTAAGCACAAGTTTCAAAATATAAAAAAAAATCATCACATACAAGAAGAACATCACTCAATAATTCTTGTGTTGCTCTGAAATGGAGATCATCCAATGCTTGCAAACCTGGAGCTGACAGACCATTAAACCTATTTATAAAAAAGGCATTGGTCATTAACAAATTTTAAAGCAATTAATTTAATATAGAGAAACTTACATTGAGAAATAAACTGCATGAATTAATTCCAAAAGAAAAGGAGAGGAAATGGGTATTCTATGAACAGTTCTTGGATTAGGATAAACACTGCTATCTGTATTGTATGGTAATTTCAAACCTACATTTATCCTTGGATATCCCTGTCTTACTGTTCTAGAAAAAAAAAATTAGTAGTATACAACTTAATATTTATGTAAAGATTTATTTTTAACACCTATATTAAATATTGAAACATTTCTAGATTGAGAAAATTTAAAATATTCTGATAAAAATAAAATTTTATTTTAAGAATCATAATTTAAGAACAGACTATTCAAGAGGAAACAACTCATTGTAAAATCCATTATTGTTTTTAAAAACAATTGGTATATGTTAATGGCAAAAAGTTTAATCTTTTTATTTTTAAAAAATTATTTCAAAATTTATCTACTGTTATACTGATAAATGATTAATGTGAGAAAAATATAGTGTTTTTATTCTACAAGTTGTGGACAGGATCTTTATCCTTAGAATTTTCCAGCCATTTATCTTTCTCAAAATAGTCTCCCTCAAACCTCTCACATTTTTGCCAGTATGTGTTGTACTTGTGGATTAAAAAAGTGTCTTGGAAGCCATTTTCAACAAGGTAAAATGTTGTTGCCATAAGTAATGTTGTGCAGCCAGCAGTCATGCCATACATAGATGCAAATGTTCTGTCACATCCGTCATACTCCCTAAACTTAACATCTTTTAATTTTTCCTCCTTTTTCCACATGTGAAAAGGGTTTTTGAAAGGGAAATGTTTTACATCCAATGACAAAGCTTGAAAGGTTGTAAAAGTGCTTCACATAATGTTGAAGAACGGCTTCCATGATGATGGATACAATGCTGGTGAAAATGTGAGAGATTCAACAAATATTTTAAGTTAGACAAAACAGGCAGAAAATTCTAAAAATAACATTTAAGTTTATATTCTTGTCAATGAATTAAATGATCGTATCTCATATATATATTCAATTCTCTATTTCCCAAAAATTATTTTTGAATAGCAAGTAATCAAATATTTAACATTTAACAGAACTTTAACATATTCAAACTAAAAGGTAGTTTTTTTTTTTAACATTTTTAACATAATTTATATTTAAGATTTCCTAGAGTTCAGTTTTTTTTAAATTTTGGTTATGACCAAACATTCCATTTCAAGCTGAGATAATGTAGCTGCTTTAACTCAGAAATCATCTCATTTTCTAATAAATAATAGGTATTTTGTTCACTTTTAAATTGTCCATTCATTAACAATTTGAATTAAATATTCTTTTTATTAGAAAGTTTAAGAAAATTGCAAAATAAAAACTTAAAATGGTTCAATGTATTTATATATGTCTTGAGAATGAGTAATTGAAATAAATTATAAATTTACAATTAAATAATAAGTTGTTTAATTTGAATTTTTCAGGTTTTGAAAATGGAAAATTTATAATATTACCATATATTCTTACAGCTATAGCATAATCACGATCAGTAAAAAAAGAATCAAGAGTCAAAAGTTACTTAATTAGCATTTATTTTTCTTTATGCAAACATTTTATTAACTCACTATTAATTTTGACACTTGACCATGGATTACAAATACATTAGTTATTGCATCAATGCACAAACAAAAATTTAATTGTGCTAAAATCTTTTCTGGAATTTCAAATTGTTATTTTGGAATAAATAAATCTTAAGGTGTGTACAAAATAAATTCAATTTAACGAAAATTAACAAATAAAAGTAAACACGGCTGACATCATCAACATAAAATTAAGAAATAAAACTCAATCTTCATTTTATTAGATAAATATACAAATACGAAAATGTAATTTGACTTTAAATTACTGTTAAATTAATCTAATAAAACTATTAACAATCTGAAATGTAATTTAAAATCTTCATTTTAGTAGCACAATAACATAGTCACAGCTATAAACAAGATATTTTTAGAAATTGTTGTGTTAGCATTCATAAAAAGATAAAAAAAAGTTTTATTTTGTTGTAAAATAATGTAATTTTGCACCGATATTATATTTTTAATACTTCAATTATTATTATTTTTTTTTTTTAAGTGAAATAAAAATTGATTACTTACTTTGAACACATTTTACACAATGCATGATGAGAAAATTTTGACATGGAACCAATACTTTGGTTATATACTCTCATTAAAATAGTCATCACCTGTAATCTAAACACAATTTCTTATTATGTTATGGTTGTAATCTTTAATCATTAAAATTACAAATTACTTTTACAGCCACAAACCTTACCTATTAGTTGCATTGATCTTTTCCACTTCAGGAAAAGGTCCAATTGTAACTGAACGATTGTCACCATATTCCAGTTTTGATAATGCATGTTCGGTAAGTACAGCATGTGACAAACTAATTGGCTGTTAAAATTAATATTTTTATGGAAATAAATATCACAATCATAATTAATATAATAATAATAATAAAAAATTATATAGCTTACCTCATGGTAAATGGAAGGCTTGGATATTGAAGGAATTCGAAAAGATTGAATAATAGGTTTTCCCAGTGAATCAATAACTTCCTGAAACATTTTAGATATACATGTTATGTTTATATGTGAGATTTTGGAGTCATTTCAATGATTATGTTATAATGACACTAATTTAACACAACATCATCAAAAACGATAAAATTTAAATTTATAATAGCAGAATAAATTTTATGCAAATATTTTTAAATGTGTAAGAACAACATTACATGTTATATATACTTAATTATATACTTAATTTAACTTAATTAGATGTTATATATATTTACATGTAATCACAACTTAATTAAAACGAAGCATTAATTTTAGTGTAAACTATTTTATTTAATAAACTGAATGAAAAATACTGAATTAAATGCCAAATGTGATAATATAATAAAAGTAATATATAAGTATAAATTTCTATTTTAATTTAAATTAGCCAAGTTCCAGCCTGAGAGTTAATCTAGCTTTATAATTTGATTTAGAAACTAAAATATTACAAAATATTTACTTAATGTTCTATAATTATGGAAGAAAAGAAAAAAGTAATTAAAATTCCGAAATTTAAAATTAAATATTTAATAGCAAGATTATCAATTAATTGAACAAATATACACTTACAAGATTATATATTCCTAAAAGTAATATTTCAACACATCGAAAACTCTAGAAAATAATCATCATTTCTTTAAATATACAAAAAAACAATTAGAATCATTGTTTATAAGAAAATCCACCCACTTTTCGTTCTCCTCTTGACACAATCCCTAAATATAACCCAATAAGAGATGGTATGAATTGTAAAGTAAATTGTTTTAATTCTTTTTCTGGTGAACGATAAAAACTAAACAACTGATGGCAAACGGGATCGAGAAACTAAAGAAAGCATTAAAAATAGTTCAAATATTAATAAAAAAGTTTTTCTAAACATAATAAAAAGCAATAATTAACATTAACAAAACACAGTTACATTCACTATAAATAGCACCAGTCAACTGATTTGATTGATAGGTGTGCTTGTAATTATAGCTGAAATAACTCATTGACAGTGAGAATTTTTATATTTTATGCCATAGTTAAATTATTTTTAAAAGTAATTTTTTTAACAAATACACACCTCTTGATAGTATTTCCTCTCTTCAAATATAGTGAACAGTGATTGCAACAACTCACAGTTTTCATTTATAATATTGGCAAAACTGTGAAGTTCAGAACTATTTAAAGTCTGCAAATAAAAATGAAAGATTTTTTTTATTAATTATAATTGTAATTGAACATAATAAATTACAATATTTACTTTATTCTGTCATTGAATTAAATTTTTAAATATCAAAGCAAGTGTAGCTTTTAATACTACTACATCATATTAGTTATTATTGTCCCACTCTTGACATAAGTTCCTATATATGGATATGAGTTAAGTAATGGAAATATATCAGTTGTTTAAGTTTGCAGCACAAAAACCTGATTGAAACTGTGCCAACAAGCAATTTTTAAATGTATTAACATGAAAAAGATTAGGAAAGCTGTCAAAATTAATTTTTAGCAGTAAAAATACCGTATTCCTATCGACTAATTGCAGTTAATAAAAAGAAAAATCATTCCGACTAATTAAATATGTCAATACTAATTTAGTTTAGTTTTATTTTATTTTATTATAGTGTTAAAAATTGTGAAAAGTAAAAAATTTGTTGTGAGTGCGGCTTGATTAATGCCAAGATATTATTGAGGTCAACAAGATAAATTCCTGATAAGAGCGGTATCAAATTTTATAAAGAGAAAAACATAACAGATAATTTAACATTATCTCACTGTTAGACAAGTGCACGATGTCATGAACAATTCAAACAATATAAAATTCTAGACTAAGCTTGTTAAGTTATTATTAATAGTTACTTTAATGTATACTATTTATCTTTTTTTTAGAACTTTTGATTCACAAAAAGCATCATTTTAAACAACACTTTTCGTAAAAATCATAAAATGAAAGTGAAGTTTTGCTTTATTTTTCTTATCACCAAATAAAATTCTGACAATGATAATATAATCCATAAAAAAATATAGATTCTAAAAAGGAAGAAAAATATTGATTTATTATTGACCGAAAAATAAATTCATTGAGATTAAAACATGAAATTTTTGGTCATTTTCAAGCATAATTAAATCACTATCCAAATTATATAAAAAACATTATTAAAGCATTAATTCTATAACAAAAAAATAAAATAAAAACCTTCAAGTATGACATAGTCAGCATTGTATTTTTGCACAGCATAATTTAATATAGCACAATATAACATTTACCAGATGCCGGATTCCTGATTAAATTTGATAAAAAGCCATTTAGTTGTTTATACAGTATACAAAATAGTGTGTTTTTTCGACCATAGTGTACAACTAGATTAACAACAATCCATTTAATATATTTTTTTAACTTATAAAATATACTATATTAAAACTGTTAGATAGCTTAAAATATATTTAGCGAGGGCATTTAGAATTATTCTCATTCGGTAAATAACACAAACATTACCAACTTACAAAATGCTAAAACTATTCACGAAAAAATTAAATCTTTGATTTTATTACGTAAACAACCTCGGTAATTCTATAATATTTAAAAGCGAACCAACATATTACCTTACAAAAATCTATTAATAGATCCCTTTTCCTGATTAGGAATATAATTGGAAATGTAATAGAAATTTAATATTTAAACAACAAAATAACTATAAATCAATCATCATGAAGTCGGGATATAAATTAAAAATAAGGAAAGTAAACATCGGAAATTTATTAAAATGCAAATTTTGTTACTCACCTTATAATCAGCCAACCACTCCCTGACAATAATGTCTGCCATATTTTTTGAAACATTATCCTTCAATACAGAGGCCACTAAAGTCACTGAAAGAAAATTGATTAACTCATTATTCAATTTAGAAAACGCTTTCTATCTCGATTCTTTACATAAATAAAACCGATGCGGAGACGATATAAATTGTCGTAATGCATTTCTGACGCTATACAAATCTAACAAATATTAAATTAATTCTACAAAGAATTGTAAAAAGGAAATAAAAGATGAATTATATAATGGTAACAAGTTGATATTAAACCTATTATCCTATAATATGAAAATTGTGTAATTATTCATCATTCCAACTGTAGTCTTATATTACATAACTTCATTTTTAAACATTTTCCTCAACTATTTTCTCAATAAATATATATTATTTATCACTTAAAATAAATACTAAATATAAAAAGAGATTAATTTTCTAAATATATATAACCTTACTACTGCATATATGACTTAATTATTGAACAAAGTCAACCTTTACCCAATTTAATCTGATGTAGAGTAAACATAAAAAATTTTACATCTAAACTAGCAGTTCAATGTACTGAATTATTCCATATTTACTACAAGAATTCTATTATTTATTAATGGAGGATGAAATAATTTATTTCCTTTATTTCTTCCAATATTGTAATATTGCATCTTGACCTCCAATTGAATGGATAATTAAATAAAGTTGTTTTTATTAATCAGAACAAAAGACCGACTTCTCTCTTGGTTGTAGACAAATCAAAGTCAAAAGTAATTAAAAAAACATTACATAATTTTCAACTTTATAAATCTTATTATGGAATAATTAGATTGATTACTGTAAAATTTAATAATTAAATAACAATTTAAAAATCCTACGATTAAAAAAACATACAAATTATTAAAATTTTTACAACTATTTTACAAGATACTCATCTTATATTTATGTATTTTTGGTAATTATTGATATGATTAAATTCGATCTACACGAATATAAATTGTCAGCGTGTAATTACACATCACATAATGATCAATTAAACTATTAATAATTAATTGCTAAATTACCTTGAAAGAGATGATTTATATAACACGATTTTAGCATTTGAATTATTCACACCGAATTATCATCAATTATTATATATCATCTAAATACCTCTGCAAAGTAATTATAATATACAAACAATTAAGCTAATGAAAAAAACAACAATTACCTAAATGTCTTTAGCGGAAAACCCGAGAGATATTAAATGCCAGAGCAGAATCAAAATGAGAACCGATACAACAATTTTATGACACGAAACCTTAAAAACAAACGATAATACGTGGAATTTAACAATGAAAATTATCTTCTCTCTTAAAAACTCGACATTTCTTAATTGACAAATTTCAAATGCAGAGTAGAAAAATGTTATTCAGAGGCCTTTGAATAAATTTCTTGGTTTTCTTCAGTGGTTGTATATATAAAAACTCAATAAATAAAAACAGTTTCCCTCATTAATTTTGTTTAAATCATATTATTATAATATAATTCTTCATTTAACATATTTATTATAGTTAACCTTTGAAAACAAGGAACTTAACTGAAATTCCTAAGGATATCATTATTTCTATTCCAAGATCTCTATGACTTATCTTTTGTTATAAAAAAAAACATTGTAAAACGAGTTATTACCTTCTTATAGAGTAATTATTTATCTTATTTTTACTTTAAAATGAATTTGAAAATCATTTTTCTTCAATTAAATGTGATTACTTAATTTTAAGCTAAATTTTGTATATAATTATTATTCTATTTACACGAGCAAGTCAAAATGAGAAAAGAAAAAGTATTAAATAATTAATATTTAATCAAACGAACAACTAATTTGAAATTTTTCACCTTGAATGACATTTAACATTCTTAAATTATATGATTAATGTATTAAGCTGTAATGTTTCTTCAATCAATAATAAACTTATTGCTTTTAAAGAATGGAAAAATCAGACTGACTTTTGAAATTTTACTCTCACATATGAGAATTATGAAAAAAGATTCAGATTTCTATTTATATTCTCTTCCTTTTCAAAATATCCGACTTAAGTTATTTTTAAAACCTTTGTTTAACTTTCCACATCTGCTTGCATCTATCATCTTTTACATTCTCAATATTATCAAGGCGTTTTGTAGTTGTAAATCATCTTCGGCTTAGTTTCAAAGAATAATCAATTAGTAGAGGAACTACATACATTATAATTGAAAATGTCATTACACAATAATTCTAAAATAGCATTAAATTAGAACAACTTTCTTGAAATACCTGAAACAAACCCTTGGTTAAAGATGCAATAAATTAGATAACAGATGAACATTACAAAGTTAAGAGAAGACACGAAAAAATTTATCCTTTATCTAAGTTAGGGTTTCTTTGATTTGTTGTTTCAGACTTGAAATTAATTAGTAGAAAGAGGAATTGAAATTTGGTACACAGTTAGGATATGTCATGAAAATGCACACTAAAAAGGAATTTTTCGAAATTCCCCCCGCAGGGAGGGAAAAGGTTAAATGATTACCCTGAAAAACTCTGCTTTTACTGAACCATTTTAGTTGCAATTTTTTTGCATTTTTGATGGGAATTGAATTTATTTTTAGACTCATCTAAAAATTCTAATTAGTCTTGGAAGAGGGGGGACCTAATTCTATATATCAGCTATAATCTAATAATCTTAACCTTACCTTTGCTCATTACTTTTTGTCTGAGCAACGCCTGCTAGTTAAGTATAAAACTCACTTGTCTAGTATCTGAAAATTATAAAAATTAGAAACTAGCTATCAACTAATATATTTTATCACCAAATTACTCACTTTACAGCAAATATTTTGATATATATTACAGTCTTTTCAAACAGATAAAATGTATCATGGTAAACTGTTCTATGTAAATAGAAATTACTCACTATAGATTTAGAAAAATTAACAGTAACACAATTAAAATTTTTCTTTTTTATATTTATCTGAAATGTAATTATCTCGACAATGATACATATGTCCGGAAGAAAATTATTTTGTATTCAAACTGCTTCTAATTAGACTCATTCATATTCTATCAAGAATTAAAAATGATAGCATTATATAATAATAAAATATTTAGTTTGAGATAATTTAGCCAATAGGGAAAACAATGTTTATTATAATATTAATGTTTTTCTAGGAAGAAATAGATCTAATTATTGGAATTGGTTTAAAAAGCTTCTTTGTATGAAAGATATACTAAAGTTTATGAAGTCCATATTTAGGTAAGTAGACTTTACAAGTAAATGTATCTTTCTAGAAAAATAAAAATATCTTACTCCTTAAATTACTCCAGCAATTATTATTTGATGAATGTTTTAAAGGCTCAGTTCTTGTTCATTAAATAATATTTTCTGGAATAATTTAAGGTGCGAGTTTTTTATCTTGACATTCTTTCTACAGTTCTTTCTAGAAAATTGTGCAAAATAAACGAAATGACTCAATTATAACTTTAGTGTTTACAGTGTGATATACATGACTAAAAATGACTCAATTATAACTTTACAGTGTTTACAGTGTGATATACATGACTAATAAACCTTTCATAATTATCAAAAACAGTTGTTCAGTTTCATTTGAAACTTGTTGTTTTTATATGATTTAAATAGATAAAAGTTTATAATTGAAGGATGACTTGGTGTAAAGAGTAGGCAACTGACATTTTCATGAAATTTGAGTTAGTGGTGCAGAAGAAAGGAGTAAATGCCTATTTATCCCAGGTAAACGATTTGAAAGTTTACCTTCATCCATTATGCAGTTTGGCAGTAAAAGAAAATGGTATGCAATACAAATATAACAAAAAAAAAACTTTGAACTTATTTTACAATATCAACATTTTGCAAGTTATCTCCCTCCTTTAAGTCCTTAATTGCATTTTACTTTCTTGTAGAAAGCACTATAAAAAAAAGACCCTTTGAGCAATATATACTTCTTTTTAGATTAAATATATGCTTATGTGTAAAGTACAAAAGCAGCAAAATTCATATTTAATATACTAGATTTCAACAGTTTTTTTAACAGTTTAGTTGATATAAATTTATAAAGTTCAAGCTTTTAACTGTTATAATGATGATAAAAAAATAAAATAATCTTTCCTAGAACTGATATGTAATGTTTTATTAACCTTTGATTCTAAAAACATAACTTTTGACAGTATTTAAAAAGGAAAAAAAGAATGAAATTTTTTATTTATCATCTTAAAGCTTTTTTTTTTAAATTCTGGAATCCACCTATATCAAAATCTATATTTATGTATCACATGCAAATGCTTTTGTAAAGAAATTTTGACCTTAGAAAGCCTCATATAATCTTAAAACTGTCTTTCTTAAATCTTGAATTACTAAAATTAAGCATATGAAATCCAGTAAAAAATATTTGAAAATGCCCCTTTTATTCCATTCAATTATTATTAAGTTTATAAAAATTCATCTAACGATGTATCATCACATTTATTTTCCAAAATTTAATATAGGACTAAGAGCAACCAATAAAAACACAAGTGAATTATAACATCCGTTTCGACCACTAATCTCTCAAAATTAAGAATTAAAAAATACTTTTAAAATTAAACTTCAATTTTAAAAAATGTCAATAAATCTTATTAGTTCATTCATTGTACATCAGTGATAAAATGTAAAACTTTAAAAAGCATAATTACAAAATATTTGATTTCAATATAATACAATCAAAATTTATGTACGTAAAAATACAAAATGTTATTAATAATAGATTAAGTCTTAATACATTATTTCTACGCTTATTTAAATCCATATTAGATTTTTTTAAAATGTAAATATCAATGTTTGTAATCAGAATGTCATTTAAAAATATCGATAATAAACAGTTTATGTTCTAATCCAAAAAGAATGCAGTTAAGAGAATATCTTAAAGATATTTTTCAATATACATCAATAATAATTAAAGGCAAACGATTGCCATAATGTATCGGGTTATTTTTATTCTACTAATACATTCAGCTCTAATAACATTGAGTTTATGATATTTATATATGTATATATACATCGA